TGTCCAGTCCAAGTCGGGACACACCAAGGTCACTCCTCAAAGATTTTTTTGGGAGCAATTACGGCCAATTCCCACAGTTAAGAGAGAGAGAAAATAGTCACAGTGCCAATCAGGCCCTATGCTGGGCGCGCTGTGCCAGGCTGATGGTCCCATCATGCGTGCCACATGGCACAATGGCCATTGGTGTCCAGCCGAGAGAGAAATATTTTTACAAATAAACTCCGGTGGTGGGCCCTTGGAGTATCTGTGGCCAGATGCAGTCTGTCCTGTCAGGCGTCTTGGATTCTTTGATCCTTGGTCAGTTTGAAGGTTGATGCAAGATTAGGGATTCCTTTCCTTCTTCCCTGAAAAGTGTTTTTCTCAAAGATACATGGTTGGAAGAAGACTCATGAAAAGTGGGTGTTCAGATTATTAAAAACAAACTCGGAACAGTTAAGTTTGCTTAATACTTAATATTTGAAACCAAAATCCAAATTTTTTTAACCAAACTTAACGGTTTGAACAGACTCTTTTTCTTTTACTTCAGATAGTAAACTTGGGGAAAATATCAAGAAGCTCTTTGTGGTAAAATTGTTGAACACAAGATTCCACTTCCAACATTTTGATTCTGGAAGATATCCATTGTCCGACCACACACTTATTGGCTGGAATTTGTCTTCAGGCGTAAGATCTATTCTTAATTACCTTGTCGGGACTCTGCGCATACCAAAGAGTCTGCCTGGAGTATCAACCGAGGAGCTACAACCTAACAAGTATCCCTGAAAACATCCCCCTCCCCCAAGCTGCCCACCCATCTCTCTCGAGCTCCCCCTTACCCCTTGATTGAGGCGAAAGATCTGTATATGCTAGCTTGATTGGTTCAACTCGCCTATTAGCCCCAGTCAGATGAGTTCATCCTGCTTGAAATTTGCTTCTGCTGTACCACAGACTACAGAGTGGTTCCGTAGATTGGAAATGGTGTAAAATTTCTTCAGCTTGAACAAATTGTGTTTAAAGTATAAACAGTGGACGGTGGCAGGTTTACGCCTGGAGCAGGGGAATGATTGGGTCTTTTTTTTTCTCTTTTCTTGCCGGAGTACTAGTTTCCTCCCGAAGTGGTTGTGGTAGGAACCCAAGGACTGTGGTCTTGAGAGGAGGCCGGAAACCGCAAAGATGTTATCTGTAAACTAGGCACTTCACAAGAAATCAATATCTTGGATTGGTGGTTGACCAATAAGAGAGCCCCCTTGTGCAGGAATTTGTCCAGGGTGTGATTATGTGGTCAACTCGCCAGAGCAAAATTGGGTCAGGCAAGGGTCGCCTATAAATGTCTTAAAATGATGTGAAGGTTTCCAAGAGTTCTCCAGATGTTGCATCTTGGAGATCCTCAGACATTGGCTCCATGCACAAGTACCCCCTCAACAGTTATAAAGAACAAGTTGGGGGAGACTACTGGGAGAGACATTTGTCGACAACACCTGACTTTCACGCGAAGATACTATCTTTGTGTACTTAGTCGTTGGCACTTTGCACTATACGCGTAAACCAGTACGCGCATGCAGTGTGTCTCGTCCACTTGGCTCTCGAAAAGTGGTTAAATAGTGCCCTCTCTTGTTCACGCACGGAGCCCATAGCTCCTTCTCCTTTCAGTTGCCCCACAAAGAGTCCCACAGTAGCTAACAGGACCACCTAACTCAATCACAGCTGTACATCATCCTGGCAGATAATTTTTTTCTGAAGGCCGGTGTTCAAGGGCAAGGTTCAGGAAAGCAGCTGATGGAGTGAATCATAACGCTTCAGACTCTGGGAGGGTGATGAAGGAACAGACGTGGTGCTTGGTCTTCAGGGTTAGTGTCTTGGCATCCCCTGGCACATTTTGGCAGGTGCGCTAGAGTCGTGTCACCCTGGCCAATAGGCTTGGACACAGCTGATGGACTGAGAAGCGATGAGACACCACGAGTAACGTGATATTTCATCTTCAGCCATATTAGCCTTCTTTTGAAAAATGAACGTTGTGTGTCTTGTGGTTTTTGTTGGATGCTGCACGCGATGGCACAGATGATGTAAATGATATCATTTCCGTGAAAGAGCCGACTCATTTTGCAACCCCCTTTCCCCTAATGTTTGCCACCTTACTGTCACTTGTCAAGTTGATTCTGTCACAAATCCTAACTTAAAATCTCACATGGTTTAACTTGACCTTAGGTGTCGAAGTAAATGGCTCATGTAATGAATTGGAGCCAAGTTAATTCACAGAACAGCTAGGTATAGGCAAAAACTCTGCAGATCACAGAATTCTTTTGCTTGCCAAGTAACCAAAAACCAACCAAAGTCTTGGAAAGCTGGTTCTCGAATGCCTCTTTAAAGGCATCTTTAATGTGCTTACAATTCTGAGCAATATTTCCTGGTTGATAATGATGACGGAGTACCAGTGGGACTCAACGTTTCCAGTAGTGCGGGAACAAAAAACTTGGAGCAGGTTTTCCAACTGCAAATGTTTACTTGTTGCTGTCATCACGGTGTGAACGCAGAGGCAAGTCAAAAAGCAAAGAAGGCGTGGCACCACAGTAAATGACTGCACATTCCCTGGGTATTGAAAAGTGGGTTATTCAACATGTTGTCGTTTAGTATTATCGTATTTCACATTTGTGTATGTACATACATTACATCGCTTATTCTGTTGGCTTTACGAGCCCATCTTAAGCCCTGCTGAAATTACGTGTAGTTAAGAGCTGATGACATCAGCAAGGAGTTGGAGCACATAATGTCTTTACTGTTTTATAGTGACTTCGCTTTTATTGAGGGGTTGGATGGAAAGTCATGGAGTTTATGAGTGGAACTATCAGATTCTTACTTGAAATTTTAACTCATTCCAATGCCCAATCTGGGTGCTTTATCTTCTGACTGTTTTGAAGAGAAACATTGGAAATGGAGACTTTAAAAATCCGGCTGTTTATCTTTGAAATTTGATTTCACATTTGTCTGTGTCTATTAAAGATAGAATCTGACTTACAGCAGGGCTACAAATGGTTCAGAAACTCTCACATTTAGGTTAATTCCTGATTTATAAAAGCAACTCGTGGTAGATGCTACAAACTACAGTTGGTGCATGTCTTGTAAGTTTTTGTCTGAAAAACAAACTGAACAACACTGACTGGGAATTCTGTGGTGCTCAACCATTTGTCGGTGGACAGCAGTATTCCCAGTCACAAAATACAGCAGCTTGATTGCCTGCTTAGAGTGAGATTAAAGAAAGGAATCTGGCCTGTTTGTTGATGTACGAGTTACCCAAACCCTACAAAAGAATCCCCCAAATGTGATTGTATAGGTAGCTAGGCAGAGAGAATCTTAAACAGAAGTTGATGCCGGTCGGCGAGTGGAGACTCTGAATGGGATTGTTTGCGCACCCTTTATAGGGATTGTGGCCTGCAGCTATGCAAGATATTTCGCACAATGTCCTGAAAGACTTTCCCTGTCTGCCTTGTCAATCTAAGACGGGGATGGCGGTGGGCCGTGATTTGCCCAGAACCTTTTAAGACTACCCCTTTATTCCATCCCAAGTTATGTATTCCTTATGTGTAAGTACGCCCTGAGCTCTACTCCTAATAGTTTAAATATGCATTGAGCCAACCCAGCCCCTTATCCCTAAACCCCAAAAGGCCATAGGTACACACAACGCTGCGCTTCCATCAGGCTTAAGTCGGGCATCTTTTTATTCTGGGGCTAGATTGCAGATTTGCTCCCAGACCGCAAAACTCTGAGTTGCTACAACATTAGGATCTGAATAAGGTAAACAGGCTCTGTTGCTCGGTTGCGGTTTTACCAGACACCCCCCCCCCCCCCAACCACCACCCTTCCACTCCAAACAACTGCAGCAGAATGCTTTCCCTTTTTGTTTAAAAGAGCAAACAATTCACACTGAATTGCCCTATTTTAGGATCCAGGAGCACTCGATGCTTGTCAACAACCTTAAGAAAGTAAGAGGAGTTGTTTTGGTAGTAAAAACGTTCAACTCTCTTTCCCCTTCCAGCATGTACTCTAATTGTTGTTTATAGCAATAAAGATTTGAATGCCTTCTCTGAATGGGCGTCCAATTGCTGTGATGCGCATTAAGACTCCTCCCAACGTTCCAGGACAAAAGTTCCATTTCTTAATACCTCGGTGCCAACAAGTGTTTTGACCGGACTAGCTTTTTTTTTTTACATTTTAAAGTCTGTCCTCTTTGATAGAACCGTATAACTTCTTGTACCGAGACACTTTGGAAAAGTAAGAAACTTGTTGGCGTCCAGCCAAGTGATGAAGTGTTTCCAAAAAGAATGGACGGAGGACTAATGAACTATTATTCGCTATCAAGGGAGACAGATACATCAATACTGGTTCCAGATTTGTTGTGGTTTTTCTTCTGCTCATTTAGTCATTGTGGTTAACAGATCTTTTCACGAACTGTCCAGAGTTGGCGACATGTTTGGTTTTTGTGTCATCCTCTTCCGAAGTCCTTTTTCAACCTTTATAAATGATTGTTACCTTAAAGATCTGTGTGCTTATTCATGAAAGTTTGCAGCTGAATTTTTTTGTTAAATGATGATAGTAGATTTAGTAATGGCAGTCTGAAAGAAAACAGATTTGAGAATGTTTGAAAAGTTTTGGGTTGGGGGAAGGGGGTGAGGCACATGCAGATATATTGAAGTTGAGTGGCCCAAACTGCTAAGGTGACACGTCCTTGGTAGATGTGAAGGTTTTGAGTGATGTTGGAAAATGTGAAATGTGACTTCAGCTGAAGTGAATACCATTGCGTGTGAACGTTTGTGAAATTGATCTGTGTAATGAATGGATACCCTGGGAATGAAATGACTAATGTGAGTGAGATCATGGCACACATTAATGTGTGCTTCCGTGTGTTCTTTTATTTTCAAGCCCCTGCACGCATGAATATTTTGATCTGATGCACTACATCAAAATTTTGAAATAGATATTTTTTTTAACCAATCACATCACTTGTTCTATAATTTTGCATATCAGGTGGTAATGAACTGCCCAATCAGCCGTTCCGTCTCAACTGGTCTTGGATCTCATTGGAGCGCGAGTACTACGAGGTGAATGAGACTGATAGGACTCTGGAGCTCAAACTCATCAGGCGTGGATACCTGGGCGAGACCTCATTTGTCGGTGAGTAGCAGAAAATGTTTTTTTTTTACATATTTAAAACGCTTATTTCAGAATAGTTTTTGTTGTCTAGAGCGTGTATGGAATTAGTTTAAAAATACTGTCTGAGACAATATACAGGCATGCAACTTTTCCTCGGATCCGCTGATTTCCTCGTTATTTACTTCTCATGAATGCCCTTACAAATTAAAAAGTACTGCCCAAAGTCTAGTGTGGTTTGGAGTTTCCTCATTTTTTCCCCCAAATTCCCAGTTGCATGCCTGAATATAACCCATTCTTTTTGTTTGACATAAGCAACAACATGGCTCCCTGATCAAGCCAGAATTTTGAGTTGGCCCAGAATGTGTGATGAATGTTCCCCGCTAAATCCCCAGTCGAAGAGCTCGGAATTCAAACGGAGTGTGCCAAGCCCCGTATCCGTAGCAAAAGCCTCATCAATCAAGTCTTACCTCCGCTCTCTCCCTCCCCCCTTCCCTCCCCACAGGCATCAAGGCTGTTGATGGTACCGCCATCGTCAACGAGGACTTCCGCGGCAAGTCAGCCCGCCAGGTTCAGTTCAACCCGGGTCAGGAGATGGGCTTCTGGCGCGTGCGCATCATCAACGACAAGAGCTACGAGCAGGCCGAGGTCTTTGAGGTCATCCTGCATGACGCTGTCATGGGGGCACTGGAGTACCCCGACCGCGCCCTCATCAGGATCCTGGACTCGGAAGATGGTGAGTTCTGAACTTATCCCTCAGACTTGGGGAAAAATAATCTGTCTCAAAACCTCAGAACCAGAGTTTAGGCGTGATTAAGTTCAGTTGATTTAACCCTAAATGTCTAGGCATGTCTTTACTAGGACTAGGATCCTTGCTGAATCCTACAAAATCCACCACTCTATGGTACAGTCGTACTTGAATTTCAACAGGGCATCAAGCCTTCATGTAGAGCATAACAGTGGCTGGTCCCACGTTTTTTTAATCCTTCGAAATCCTACAAACCTTCTGGTGGAGCTTGAAGAATCTCGGAGGGTTAATATTTAAGTATGCTTAAGTAGTCTGTATACCTGTAGTTAGAAAAAACTATAACTGTGGGTACCTACTTTGTCTGAAGTTCTAGTCGTTAAAGAGTCATGAAGGAGATCATTGAAAAACTATTAAAAAGGAAAACTTATTTTGGAAACAAATTGGAAAGAATGTTGCAACCTGACGCCACTCTTTTCTTCATATATCATCTCAATAAAGGTCAGTCATTGCAAAAATGTTGAAAAGACATGAATCTAGGACTGAGAAACATTTCCAATTTTGTTAGGAACTACTTAGAAAAATTTCTTGACTCTCCATAGACTTGGTACACAACCGCTGAAGTGGCGTCTGGAGACTACATTCTTTCCAATAAATCCTTTGTGTTAGAAAGTAAAAAGCTCCTGACTATGACGAGTATGACCTGGTTGTGTCTGGGTCTTACAACTCAAAAGGGCACAGGAAATAAGACTCTGCATCAGATGATTGTAGAGGGCTTGACTCATCTTGCGGCCGTCATTGTGTGAAAAGAAACCAACCATAAGCCCCAATCAAGGCAGGGAGTAACTGTCCCATTACCGCAGGGAACGCACAATAAACTGGAAGATCTTTTAAGAGATTTGCTTGGGATGGGATTTTAGACTCAAGAAACCACCGTACCAGTGTACTACACTGGTGGATTTTGATGGACTCAGGACCCAACCTTTTTTTGCATGACAAAATTTATGGATTCTGGCAGATTCAGGATACTTTCTAGTAAAAATACCCAAGGGGTTAGGGTTAAAGTGGTGTTATGCAGCCTGGATTTGCTGCAAACATCTAGTTGTTTCGCTTTTTTGCTTGTAAAGCAAGGGGCAAATTGAAGTGTTTTTGTTGGCATCCCAATTAGAAGGGGGTTCAGTATAGGATGATGAGGGGCTTATGAAGTCCTGGTGCATCCTGCCCTTGAGGCTTTGAAAAATGATGAATGCCCTGCAATAAGAGCAGTCCAGGGTGCTTTCAGTTAAAGATGTTTACAGTTCAGGGTCGTTTCAGTTTATTCTCCTGTATATATATATACAGAATTTATTAGGCATTATAAAAAGTAGGGAGATTTTAGTACTGAAATCGCTTTGTGTAGCAGTTGTTCTTTAGGGGCATTTGTAGGGGAGGAAATGGGATTGACAAACAATTGTGTTCGGTAATTGTTTGGGAAGAGGTTAAGGGAGGATAAGTTAGGTAATTGAGTGGGTGAAGTGCCCCCTAGACTGAGGATGGAAAAATCAGAGCCTTCATTTGTGGTTTTTCTATTAAAAGCATTCCGCAGATGGACATCAGCCTTGTTTGGATGCTTAAATTAAAAATTGGAGACTCGGTTGGAAGATGATTAAAAGGCCGCTGACCAAAAAAACCTCTTGTTAAGAGGTGGAAGGAGATGGAATGGGTGAATTTACTTGCATTCAGATCTGTTGAGTGCACAAAACCGAGGGATTAGGCGGGCGTCCAAAAGGAAGAGTGGGCAACAAGAGAATAGGGAATTGGTTGGGGTGGATGGGTGGGGTTAAAAAAAAAAAAAAACCTGAAAGAATATAATGAAAGGCCAGTAGGCAGGAACCTGACTTTTGAACCAATTTGAAGGGTCGATGGAGGCTAGCTGTCTGCCTCCCTGGGCATTTAATCACTGTCTCCTTCGAAAGTTGCTCCTTCTCCCCGGTAATCCAGGTTTTGTCCCCCTTTCTTGGGAGGTTGTTAACCCCACCAACACTATCATTAACCTGGGCCTCAATGAAAGAAGCCATTGTAGTCTCTGTGGAATTTTGCTGCAAGGGTTATTGTTTTGGTATTGAACATAAAATTGACAATTTGGAGGAATTGATGAGAGGAAGATTGGGTGGGGGGGGGGGGGGGGGGTGGAGAGGGGACCAAACATGACTCGGAGTAAGATAATGAAGTTGTTTTGCGTTACTCATTTAACGTTTTGTGTTATCCTTATTGATTGGGTTGAAGCACAGAAATGCACAAGGGCTTTGGTTGAAACACAAACAGGTTGACATCCTAGTGTGGGAGTTGGATGTTGATAAAAAAAAAAGCAAACACTTTTTTTCAGATGAAAATACCTTTTGCAACTGTTGCTCCTTCCTTCCTCCCGGGAAGGTTATAGAAGTCCGAACGAACAACGAAAAGTTTGTAAGGAATTTTTGTTGTACTGAATCCTACACAGTGCATTCCCCGCCAAAAAAAAGAAGCCAACAGCAGTACTATCTACACAAGTTTTTTCACCTTGGAACGTGTTTGAATTTGTTAGTTTGATCCGGCATAAAGTAAACAAGGGGAGAGGAGGGCAAACATATCAAGAGATTCGGGGCGAAACAGTCCAGGAAGAATTGTCTCCCGTTAATGATAACAGTGCGTTGTCAGTTCAGGCACTTGTAGAGATGCCTGCAAATAGACACATCTAATGAACTGGAAATGAGATCCTCAATTTGATTGTCATCCTTTGGAAGGCGAGGCGGGTGCCCGTATTATGAAAGCATGAAAAGCCTGTTCTGAAACGTCAGGTACTCTTACAAAAATGTCAGATGAATTAAAACTCCCAGTGAATTCATTGATACTATGCTACAGTAATTTAGGGAATACACAACAGGAACACCTAGTGTGATTGTTCAAATTATTATTTTTTTTCTTATTTTTTTACTTTACTTTATTTTTCTACAAACAGAATCCTTTGTGTTCATCGATGCCGAGAGCCCCTACATCATCAACGAAGACATCGGCGAGGTGCTTATCCCCATCCGACGAGGCGGTGACCTGTCCGAGGAGATGATGGTCCTCTGCTCAACGATGCCAGGTACCAGACTAGAGCACATTGTGATCCTAAACGGTCCAGATTTAAGGCTTGAAAAGTTAGGCTACAACATCACTTAAAAGTTTAGAAACGGGGGGATTGGTAAACTTTGTGGAATGGTTTTTCCCAACAAGTTGAAGACAATTTTACGATCCTTCTAAGCACGGAAATTTGCTATAGGCACAAAAAATATTTGCCAAAAAAAAACAGGTTCCAAAAGTCATGTGTTGGATATTGATTGTGGCTGGTTCTGTAAGTGGATTTTTTTTCCTTTTCGGCCAAACACTGGAAATTGCGGCCTGGTCCCAATATGGTCTGATGAAATTTTACTTACTGCAAAAAAACTGTAAGAGTATGCGATTATAACACAGTATTAGCACTTGGTGCATATAACTGAAGTGTTAGGCACAATTAGTTGGTGCTCAACATATCTGTGATCTGTGTGCTGTGTGATAATCAGAGATTCAGTTTTCCAGCTAAACTCCATTGATGCGTACTGGTATAATACAAAAGCATTCCACACTGTATTTTTGACAGTGAGCGCACCGATGTTCGGTCAAGTGATTTTCAATACAGTTGTGTGGAAAGACATGGGGATTCAATCATGCAAAAGACTGCATTCTGCAAACTTTCACACAGTTTTCCCTTTTTGTGTTTAGTGATCAACCAGAAAGAAATAAAAACCTGCATTCTTTTTTTTCCCCTCTCGGCAACACCCACACAAAAAGTTCCTAAATTTAAACCCCATTTGCCAATGTTTTGATACGAGTTCAATCTGGCAACAAAATGTATTGCACATTGGCACATATGGTTTCTATTGTCCAAGCAGATGGTCCCACTCAAACGTACTATATTTAATCACCCAATGTGGAATTCAGTTCATCATGAACCTATTCCCTAGGTCTTCAGTTTCATCTCAAAAGGCAGAAACTGCTAAAAGATGACTCATTCTGACATTTTATCAACTCTAAAACAGAGATTCTGCACTGAAAGGATTTAAAGATTGGTTATCACCCGACTTTATTGTCCCAGTTTTTTTTCCACTGATCTGGTGTTGGTAGTCTGCCCTGTAGGCATTTTTATAATATTTCACCGGTCCCCTGTGCTCGACCCAAAAACCCACAACTCTTTTTTGTGTGTGTGGAGACTTATCCCTGAGCTATACTTCAACAAGACTCCAGACATAATAGGCTACAAGGTTTAACACACACTTGGGACGGCCGACAGTAATAAAGTTATTCCATAGAACACAGTTCATTTTTTTCACCACTTGTTCCTCATTATTGTTTTCTCCGAGGGGTGATATACAGGTTTCAGATTTTCCCAAGAGCCCTGAACTGTTGTTTTCCTCATACTTCTCCAACAAGCAAACCTCACAGGCAAATCTCGCAGGCATTTGTTGAATCAAAACCAATTATGGGCCATCACAAATTGTCAAGACTTTTGTTCAGAGCACCAGGGGTGTATTTTGAGGGATATTTTTTTGTTGAGAAGCGTTGGCGGGTGTGGGCAGGTGAAGAACAGGTTGTTTCAATCGAGACTGACTTGGTAAAAAAAAAAAAGCCACCCACCACAAAATGACAAAATTAACTAGTGACAACTTCACTCATTCTGTTCATCAATCGCAAACCTCCAAACCGTGGGAGATTTTTTTTGGGGGGGGGGGGGGAGAACAAAACTTGCATCAAGCTTGGAGATTGCTGTACAGGGGTCTATTCAGTTCTTCAATGAATATTGTTACAAATTTCAATAGCTTCAAACCTTTCCGGATCTAATTCTGGTAGTAATTTCAACCTCCCACACATGTGCATTTTTGGGATTGAAAAAGAGCCAAACACAAAGTGGCCAACAGGAAATAAATTTGACTTTTTGCACTCAGCTATGAACTGCCTCACTGATTTTCAACTAACTTTACTGTTTACATTTGGGTTCAGCGCAGGGTCTAATTTAATGGCCCTGCTGAATAGGTTGCTGAAAGTGAAAGCTTTTGTGAACTGTGGTAGAAAAATGGTGCTTATGAAATGCTTATACTCGTAGGCACTAGATATTCCTACATATTCCTATTATTATTGCTGTTGTTATTTGTTTCTGGTAATGAAACTAAGGATTCCTCAAAAGTGCCCAAGGCACTGTAGCTCGCAAGCCTGAAGAAACCTGTGGAGAGAAGACAATGAGAAGAATTACAGTTTTAGAGGTGGGAGGCAAACCCCAGAAGAATATTCTGGGGGAAACCCACGGAATCAGGTTGGCCCCGCGATGGAAGGCCAGGAAAGTACCGCTACTCGAACCTGACTCCCCAATTTTTAAACCTATTTAAAGCAAACTGTTATTCAGAAATTCTGCTCACTGCTTCGCCTACAATCTCAGGGAAAAGGACAAAGGTTCTGTATGCAGTAAATCTTGTGCATAGTAGCATGAAACATGGTCCAGAACGTGACCAAAATGAAAACTGAAATGTCAAAGACTGAGCATCACATTTAGTGCTCTGTTCACAGTCCGTGTAAACCATGTGGGTTGAACTATGTGACCCTTCAACACAAAACCAGTCAGAAGTATTTTGAGATGCAGCCTATAATACAATCTGTAATGCTTAGAATATTGATGAAAATTGGGAGCTGAAAATACCTATAACTCCGTCAGATTTTGTCTGATTCCCATATTCATTGGAAAGCTTACTCGGTGTCCTTTTCAATGAGCTTAAAATCCCAACTTTCAAGAACAGGTCCAAGTGACTATTTTTGTTGATTTGTTACCTTTAACCTTTGAACCCTTGCACACAGGTACAGCCACCGGTGCCGACCCCTCCCCGGTCCACTCTTTCAACGATTACATCAGCCGTCTTGAAGACGACAATGACAACTTCGTCCGCTTCGACAAGGGCGAGGACCTGGCCTACTGCCGCGTGCTGATCATCGACGACTCGCTGTACGAGGACGCCGAGGACTTCCAGGTCAAACTGACCATGCCCATGGGAGGTCGCGTCGGGGAGCCAGCCCAGCTCAACGTGGTGATCGCCGCCGATGCTGCAGATGGTGAGTTTCAAGAAAATTTGTCTGGGTACAAGTCAATTTAAGCCTTGAGTTGCATTTTCCAAGTTGGCTTTTATTTAAAATGAGAAGTTCAGTTTAGCAGTCGGCGTTTGTAGGTCTGGGTTGCGATTGATTCAGATACTTTTGTTGGTGAAACTTCCTTGGACTTTAGCTTTTTGGGGGCATTAGTTGCTTTTTCAATCTATGTTGAATGGATTTAACTGGATTTAGTTGGGACCAGTGCTAAATGACCAGCGGACACAAAAAGATAAATGAAGTTTAAAGCTCCAGCATTTTTATCGGATTATGTTTTTCACAAAATGAAATAATCTCCGAGCTGAGAAATATGTGACCTACTGAGGAATGTCCCCCAAAACCTTGTTTTGCGTAATCGACGCCTGAAGTCGGATATACTAGAACAATTATGCCAAAATCGATATTGATTGTTTTGTACTTTTGAGTAGCCAAGGTATCCAAGATTCACACTATGAATGTTTGTTCGGGAAAAAATACCCACAAAAATCAGCCATCAGAAAGCGATGACATGTCCTGAAAAGTCAAATTTAGCAGAGAAAACATTGAAGCATTTACTGAGAAAACACTTGGAATTTTTCAGACCAGTCTCATAGGGTTTGTGCACAGGGCGTCAAGTGATGTCCAGGTATGGAACTCTTTCCAACCATTTTTATGACTGCACTCTGACACAAAAAACCCAAATAATTCTTTCATGACAACAGCACATTCTGAAAAAGGCACGAACCAAACCTTCGTTGAGAATAATACATGTAGTATAATGTACATGTAGCCCTTGTAATTCCAGAGGGTTTTTTCTAAGGGGGGCTCGTTTCACATTCCTCTCACACCCTGCGTTATGGTCTACTGGGCCTGTGTGTGTCTGGCCTTGTGGTGACCTTACACCCAAGTATGCCCGCACGCTATACAGCCCTTATTCCAGATCATCCGAGCTTGAATTGAATTCGCAAAAAAAACGCTGCAGGTGTCGTATGACGCTGCACAAGGGTGTGTTATAGAGCTCAGGTGTACTCGGGAAAACTTTGGGCTTGGGATACTGGCTATTGTTGAAAAGAAAAATAGCCTGCTTTGTTTAAATGGAGTATCCTGTTTCGGGACTGTTTTTATTATGCATGCATAGTCTGCATCGGTTAACTGCATGGATACTCAGTGCACAGTGAAACAACTTAGTATTCTGTCTCCAAAGTCAATGCAAATGATTCCTAAAACTGAACTAAAATGATTCCTAAACCCAAAAATGTGAGTTCTCTGCTCGGAAGTGTCAGCATACTTTGTGTTGGCGATCCAAAAATTTGCATCATTGCACAGTGCACGAAAACCCAAAAGTGAGTTTAACAAAAGTACCAAAAACAACCTTCAGATATTGACTCTAAATTCCTTCAGTTTTTGACTGAAAATATCGATTTGACTCGTCGAAACTTTGAATTTAGTTTTGGCATTGCAAACTTTAATGATTTCTTTTTATCTGAAGTTCGGTGCTCATTTCAAACGGAGTGGGAACAAATTCAGTTTTGTAGCAGAAATGACCTTGCCGATAATATTGGCCAAGCCTACACACCCCTAAAAAAAAAAAAATCAGTCAAGCGCTCTGTATAGTACCTAGATTTGGAGGGAAAAAAAATAACGTGCATGTGAACGGACAGCTTGCTCTAAATTCACCCTGTCTTCTGCATTCAATATACTTGCTTGTCAATCTGTCATGTAAAAGGCATAATCCAAATAGAAGATGACAGCCTAGCTACGGCCCCCCCCCCCTCCAACAATGTTTTCCTCGTTTTCAAAGTTTGATTCATGAATCACCACAAAACTTCTGTCATTCCGTTGGATTTGTTCTTTTATTACTTTCTTCCGTAGTTGAAGAATTTAATTTCCATTTGCAAGATTAGGTCCTCCTAAAAGCCGCATCGGGTATTGGGAAAAAACGCACATGACGTTGAGAACAATTTTTTTTGTCGGGCTGGGGGGGGGGGGGGGAGGACCATACGGGGTGGTCTGTATCGGCTACAAATGCGCTGTTGTGAGGCGAGAACTCTAGCGGCCTCGAGTGTACTCTAGCAGAAGACAAATGCATTCTCACTTTCGGAGAGGTGTTTACTTAAAAACTATTGGGTCTTGGCTTTTCTGACCAGCAGATTATTCAGATACAGCCGATTTTTTTTCTCCCGTGTAAATCTGGGTTGAATTTGTGGCATTGAAGGCAAAAAAAATTCTCAACCACGGCAAGTTCAAAAGGGATTACGTGTCCAGTTCCTTTTTTCAGGATGCACTTGTAAATATTTCCGAATCATGCGCCCTTCTGAACAAGGCAAACAAAAATTGTGTGCAATTTAATCCCTGTCCTACTTATTTTCATTACCGACATTTATCTGTTGCTGCACCAACCAAGTCCAAGTTATGAATATAGGCCTAATATCCAAAGCACCTCTGTTGATGAATTTTCTTCTTATCATAACCACCTGTATCGCACAGGTATTAACACAAGAACTAAAGAATGAATGAATAACAACAGGGATTTTTAAATAATTGTGTCTTCAAAAGGGGGATTACATGCAACCACCAAAGACCCCATTCAGACCAATTTCCTAATATTTTGGCGTTCCATTCAATCCACCGTCCCTCCTGTTATTCAGACCTTCTTAGCAAAACACGGCTACACGTGTAGCTCGTCCAACACAAACAGGATTTGCAGAAAGATATTTTCAATACGGACTAATGAAAACTCGCCCCGAGGGTTCTGGTCTGTAGTATTAAACTTATCGCAGGGCAAAACTTGAACTGACCCTACAACTCAACCCAATCTCAAACTTTCGGCTATGTGGCTTTTTTTGTTTGTAGGAAAACTCCCAGGGGCTTTAACGCATGATTTGCAATGTCTCGGATCATGTTAACTTCTTGCCAAAAAAACATCTGCGACATTTCATGTTGTGCCTAAATATTCCCATAGGTACACTGCATACTTCTTGTCAGTGTACATTCCTATACGACCAGTACCCTGTTACTTACCACACAAATTATTATCAGGGCCTGTGAGTTTGGGTTCTTTCAAATTGTAGCCAAAAATAGCCTTCCCATTCAGATTCATTGTAACTCCTACTCATAAATTCACGCCGTGAACTCCAAAGAAACTTAATTGTGTTTCGGGTTTTTTGTGTGTGCTTGGCTATAGGAAGCCATTTCTAAACAAACAAAAAACCAGACCCCACTTCAAAATGCCGGTGGCAATTCCTGGACATCTATTCAGGGGATGCACTTTCACACACAAAATAAATGAATATCTTCAAATGAAAATGCATGTACTGACAAGGTGTAAAAAAGGAAACAAAGTATTTACATCTTTTGAAACTTTTTGTATCTTTTTCTCTGAGAAATGTTCATCATAATTCATTTCCAGTTCCCTTTCATCGGATGTTCTTTGAGCACAATAAGGCAGTGAAAGTTTATGAATTTCAATAGATGACATTTTTGATAAGTTATAGTTTCCCCGACGTCTAGGTACAGGGACAACCTTTTTTTTTTTTTACCCAAAAGGAGAAAGAAAAAAAAAGCTGAGCTCAAAAAGTTGATTGATTGGTTGGCGTGTTTCACCGGTGCCCGGGGATTAAGATATGTGTGGGGAGGGAAGTACGTCATACGGGGTACCAGGGATACGAGGAAAAGGAAGGGGAAAATACTGGCACTGATAGGGGGGGGGGGGCGGATTTGTGGTCCCTGGAGTACGTAAAAATAAGGGGCCGACTTTTGCTTGTTAAATTTGTTAATACCACAGCTAGCCAGTTTTACGCCAGTTTTTCCATTAATTCCATTTGCGTGTCCCTTGAAATATAATGAAACTTCAGAAAGTCAAAATATGAAATAACTGCCATCCACTGCTCAGAAGTTTTGGTGTGCAATGAATGAGCAAAATGCAGGAAGTAAAACGATTTTCCAGAAGTTGATGGCTTTCAAATACTGCAGAAGTGGAAAAACTGAGGAATTTGTCAAAGAAACACACACTGGAGACCTTTTGCCACTATCGCACGACCCCTCTCGATTCAGCGTAATTGGAAAATTAGCCACAAAACCAACTCCGAAATCCGTGGTGATCGCACCGCACACCAGAGGTGTGCATACCGCAATTCAAACATCTCTCTCAACCCCGGCGGGTGGTCGGTAATGCGTTCTGCTTGGGGAGCCGTCGTTATTTTCAACAATTCTTCGTGACTAAACGTAGCAATTTTTGAAACAGATGATTCCAACAGTGAATCCAAGCTGTGAGGCCGTGTTGGACACACATGAACTGGCCGGAGAAGTGTTTTTGCCTACAAAGTTGCAAAGTGACTCAATTAAGGAATCTGTTGGCTAGTTTGCAAATTTGATGTCCAGCAAACTTTGGGAAATACATTTTCATATCAGTTGGAGTGGGGCGAACACATTTGTTTTTTAGTTTGGGCAATTCAATAAAAATCAATTACATTGCTTGATTTCTAACTCAAACAGCACAGCATGGAAGAGACAGCTGGCAGTATAGGAGTCAAAGGTCACAAGGCAAAAGTTGTCCCTGAACGAAAATTAGCTCACATGGCAGTGCTGTCTGCAGAGTTTACAACAATTACTAAATCTTCAACAAATTTGACGTCAAAAGGAATCCAGCTCGGAATGACCGAATCCAGCTGCTGTTGGGAAAATTGATTCCCCACCCAAAGTTTTTGAGACGGGTCTTTGCCTGTGTTTGGTGACCGTTAACCCTGAATTTAAAAAGAAGAAAAAAAAGGCAGGAAATTGGAAAAAGGACCTCAGTCAACGGCAGGCTTAGTCAGTTCATTGGCATGGAGACAGGGGGACCATCCATTCGGTAGAGTGATGACAGAAGTTGACAGTAATTGAATTTGCAGTGCATGTGCAGTCCTGCCCCCTAAAAAACTCCCGACAAAAAATCCAAACTCACATTGTACAAGTGACCCTGAGAAATGTGTTGCACTTTCCAACTGTGTACATGTATGACCAATGAAGTTTATTGTAAAAGTATATTTGAGATTCACATTTGGGAAGTATTACTTCAGAATTGCAAAAAAATAAGAGTGTATTCAGTCTTTTACTTTCTACCCAAATTCCACAGTATTTACAATATTTTTCTCCTAATTCATTCGTCAGCTTATTTGTCACTTCTCATGAGAGTACATTTTAAATTGGCTTCCAAATTTGGTGGACAATTATATCGGGCATTGTTGTTAAGAATAGCTGTAATTAATTCTTTCTATTTAACAGACATGCAACTTTTCCTCGGATCAGCTGATTTCCTCTTTTTTACTTCCCATGTGTGCCATTGAAAATAGAAAAACACTGTACAAAGTCTGGGAAAGATTTGAATTTCCTCTTTTTTGTGTGACTTCCCAGTTACATGCCTGATTTCAGACAATCTTTTGTGGTCTGCACTGTGTTCGTTTTAAAAAGATGTAGCCATGGTTTTCTCTTACAGTCCCATTGTTTCGTTTTCACGTTCCGTACTTTGATTTTGAGTATTGATTTTAAATTTGGTTTGGTCTTGGGTTTTTCTCCCACACAGAACCATCCTTCTACTTTGGAGAGGCCGAGTACCGTGTTGACGAGAGTGACGGATACCTGGAGGTCCAGGTCTGGCGTACCGGCACCGATCTATCCAAGATGGCCAGCGTCACGGTCCGCTCCCGCGCTTCCAACCCGCCCTCTGCCACCGGTGGGTATTATGCGACGCGTCCATTCCCCAGAATGGATTGGGTAGCAGGAGGGAAGGGGAGTGGCTCTTGCAAAAATCATCAAGGCTGTTTGACAGCTTTAGGGTGTAACTTGTCTTTAATCCTTTGAACCCACTCTGAAAGGGTATGAAAGTCTTCAAGGCAATTGTACCTTCGCAACGCCTCTTCCCCATGCCCCTTGAAACAAAAACATTTTTTAACTTTTTGAGATAAACACCAAGCCTTTGACAGTCCTCGCTACGTGCCGTGCTGAAAACTGTCTAGCATGCACTCAGAAATGTACTAAGCATGGGTAACACTAATTATTTATGATCTAAACTTCCTTTGAAAAACATTGTCTTTTATGACACACAGTGTGGTCTGAACTAACCCCCCCCCCCCCCCCCCCCCCCCCCACCCCCACAGCCTCTCCCTTCTGCTGCTTAGGGGAGGGAACATTGACTAACCAAGTACAAGTTGGAAAAAAAAAAGTCTGGGTTACATGTTTTGTCCGTTCAAACATTTTTTAAATGTCAATCTTCGGAGTCCTGTGGATCTTCTTATCCAGAGATCCATCCGCAAATTTTATATTTCCTGTTATGTGTTTCATCTCCGCTCGACACGCGAGTGTCAGCTCTAAGTGAAAAGTTCCGCCCACTAACGAGTGACTTATCGTCATGTATCACGTAACCTTTTTTCTTTCTCGTTCATTTTTATCCTGCTTTGCTTTTTGCCTGGCCTTTTGACCCCATTGTAACAGGACACAAGGTAATGTCACCGTGTTTGTCTTGGCTATTCTCATTTTCTGGGGCAATTAATGGCAAGAAATGGGTTTGGCATCCAGACAGTCAAAAGAGTAGAGTGTGTATCACAGAACAAGTTTCCAGGTGTTTTTTTAAAAGTCAGTTTCAGATAATTAACAAAAACGCCCTTTTTTTTGGGACACCATCAGATGCAGAAACCAAATTTATAACAGCATGTTGCCTTGGAAACCACTGGTATTGCTGTTAGTCGGTCCCCACGACTGCAATGCTTGAAAAAAACCCTGAAAACCCTTATTAAAGCAAATTGATTCTAAAAATAATGCTTAAGTATTTCTCTTCATTCAGGAAAAAAAGAGACGGGTATTGAGAATGTTATGCAGGCTTTTTAGCCTCTATTGCATGTATATGAGTCTAGAGACAAGACCAGGGCCCAACATCATGGCTCTGTTAACCACAGAATTCCGCGCTTACGATCGCCATTCTGTGCTTATGATGGCTAGCAGAAAAATACTGTGCTAACCCTGTAAGCACAGAATTCTTTGTTACAGGAGGTACCCATGCGCATAAGCCAACATTTCTCAATGACCTGTGAAATATGTTTCCCGTAAGCATGAAATTTTCTGCTGTAGTAAGCAGGGATTTTTTTGGAACTTGTAAGCAAATCGATGACACTGGGCCCTGCAGTCAAAATCGTCGGGAATTGTACATGGTTTCTGTTTGGGATTCTTGGGTGCCTCAAAGTTCATTTTTCTTTTTCTTGCACATGTGTAGAAAATATTTCTAGTAGTTTCAGTCGTCACCTTCCTCTGTCTTGCGAAGAGTTGTTTGTCTAAACCCGTCCGTCCCATTTCCACTTTCGCTCATGCATGTAGCCTCTTCCGGCTCCAGAATTATTTATGTTGGTTAATGCATTCCTTTCCACTGTGATTCTGTTTCCCTTTGATGATATCCTATCCAATTTTTCCCTTCTTTTTCTGTCCATTTTGTCATTTGTCGTTTCGCTCCGGTGTTGCTGCTGAAAGTGGTTCACCCCGTACTAGTTTTTGAGTTCTGTCCCATCTTTTTTTCAAAGCAAAACAAAAAATTATTCACTTTTGAATGAGAAATCACATTAATATAAACCACCCACGTTTAGTTATGGAATATTTTACTTAACAAGTTCCAAACTATTTGCGGCCCATTAATAATTCAGACGTATCTTTTTGTCCATTATAAATGCTAAAGCAACTTAAAATAAGTGTAGTTTCAGAAAAATAGGTGGGGGGGTTTGGGGAATTCCACTTAAAGGGCCAAGACATGAGTCTTACTTGGAACATATTTTGTGCAACTTTTTACTCCTTGTAAATGTATGAAAATTATCTGACATCCCTTTTTGGTTGATTTTATTGAAAGTGCACTTCTTTATACATTAAAAAAATGCCTGTGCTTTTCTGGACAAGTGAGGGCGCTGTTGCTGTGATGTCATTTCAGGAAGACACTGTTTAGGGGTTTGCTGTTCAAATTGTGAACCCAAAATGTGCTCATTGAAAGCATTTGTGAGAAAACTTTGTTCATTGACTGTCATGTACTGAAACAACGACAAATAACCGAAACAAATATCACCACAGCTAAATATCCAAAATTCTGACGAATGTTTGTGCTGAAACAGCTGTAACATTGAGTTTTCTGCCTAAAATGACATAACATTTTTGCTCATGAGTATGCAAATTTGCATTTGCATAAAATCTTAAAGGCACCAAAATGCCCTTAAAAATGGCAAAATGAAAATTGAAAATAAGGTTAAATGGGACACAAAGTTGCAGTTACAAGGACTGCATTAAAAAAAATTACATTACATTTCATTGGCACATTACAATGTATATTGCTTGTTAACTGGTACCCAGCTGCGATTTGCTTGATGTCAAAATGAGCTTACCAGTGAAAGTAGTTTTCAAGATTTTTTTTTTACTTCGGTCGTGCTGGCACGCGAACATCACTCGGAACAGGATATGGAGGAAGACATTCTTGAGACCACATGTGGCTGGACCTGTAATGGAAGTGGGCATGATTAGTGAAGACAACTTAAAAATAGTCGCAGGAAATCAGGGGTTGGGGGGGGGGGGGTTCGAGTGGTTCCAGCTAAATTGGGTCAAGTTATCTTTTTTTTTTAGTTTAAATTGTAAATAGAGGGATGCATTTTGATATTGGGGTGAGAAAATGGGCCGGGTCAGAGTATAGTACATTGCAACATTGGTTGCTAAAACCGCTGAAGGGAAGCTGTATACAATAATGTATACGAGTTGCATGCTGGTGACATGCATTGTTTAAGCATATCCGCATTCTGGTTCATCCTAAAGTGCACTGACTTGCACCGAGTGTTCCTTGCAGATACCAAAATCTGCAGGACACAAAGACAATGGACAAGTCATAGACTTGTGGGAAATCTTGTTGTGTCCAACTGAAATCTTTTTGTGTTCAATGCCCCCCCCCCCCCACCCGCTTCATTTGTCTTTTGTCTGTGTCTACAGTATTTTCTGTAAGTTCATGTGTTTTATTTATTTTGATGTGGTGTCAGCTGGGTTCATACTTAGCGCGAACGGCGAGAGCAAATGCGAATATGTGAATTTGTGACATCACACAGGCAAATCTAACTTTTCCTCGGATCAGCTGATTTCCTTGTTTTTCACTTCACACTTATGCCGTTAAAAATTGAAAAAAACTGCACAAGTCTTGTAAAGCTTGGACCTTTTCTGCATTTTTTGTTACTTCCAAGTTGCATGGCTGATCACAGCAAGTTTTCGGACTGTGAATTTGAAAGTCACTTCAGCTCCGACACAATTTTTGCAGCCAATGTTTCGTGACGCCAAATTCGCTTCGTGTGAATCGCCTTCGCGTGAAGTATGAGCATGCATTTAGTCAGACTTAGTTTATCCTCCACTTCCTGTACTTTTCAGTCAGCATGAAATGTTGAGTCTTTTAAGTATCTATGATCTCTTTTCCCCGGGCACATTTGTCGGGACTTGTCATGTACCATGGGATTTTGAGTCACCCCATGTGCTAGTTAACATTGTGTTGAAACAACCAGAAATGTCACATTTCAACAACTATAAGCCTGCAAAGACATAGGTTGTCACACTCTTTCCTTGGAGATTTTAAAGGTCAAATTTTGTAACTAATGTTTTGGCCAACTTTCAAGACTGGTTTCTGATCAATCTGAACTTGCTGTATCAATCTGAACTTGCTGTCTAGACGAATCCACGGGCACGTTATCGCTGTACACCCATGAGGCCCCCTTTCATGGAGAAATGACTGTGCAATGCTATTGTACAAAGCAACTGCCCCCTAATGGATTATCTGAACAATAGCTAGCACAATGCTTTCACCATTGAAGGGGGCCTTCGCGACAGAATTGTTAGCATGCCCAGATTAGTCTATACTATTTTTGAGTTCAAAGATCTGGTGGGACACACTTGTTTTGACCTTCAAAGTTGAAAGCATTTCCCTAGTGACAATTTGGGTTTTTTTTGAACATTTTTTTTTAGAGTGGGCAGTTGATATCAATTACTCGTGTTCCTGTTCGGTCCACAACTTGTCAATCCATCAAGTTTTGCGTGACATTTCAGCCATTGAACTGTTGACCTAAACAACCTCTAAAAAATCCTTTAGAGACCTTCCCTCATTTAAGAAGGTCACTCTTCCTCAAAATATTGAAGTCGAAGTTTAACCTAGAATTTATAGATCACAAGTCCAAATTTTGTTTTTAAAGGAAAATGTTTGTGAAGTCTGGCTGCTTTTAGGTTGGTCAAAGGATTAGGAAAACGAACGGCATTTTGCTTGTCAATTTTCCTACTCTGGGGTTCCCAAAGCACACCAAATCGTTCTTAGAGACCCAATTAGTTGTGATGGAATCCTGGTCAGTCTGTCGTCTCACTGTGACGTTATTTATTTTTTAGGCTTTATTTTTCAGTCAAATTGATCAACCATTTTGGGGCTTTTCGTTTAAAAGGTAAGGGGTATGGACAGTGTAACATGTAAATGACCTGTCAGAAATTTTCGGTCAGTTAAGAGGAAAACGAAAGGAATATCAGGTCAGGTTTAATTACTCGTCTAATTTGTTTGTCAGAAAGTGATTTTTAAAATTTTTCTCTTTTTTTTTTGCGAATAGGTGGTGTGGACTATGCCGGAATCAGCCGCAACCTTGACTTTGCCCCCGGCGTGACTATGCAGAACGTGCGCGTCTACATCATGGACGATTTAGGCCAGCCCCTGCTGGAGGGACCCGAGACCTTCGAGCTGGTACTCCGCATGCCCATGAACGCCGTCCTCGGTGCCCCGGCCCTGTCTGTGATCACCATTAACGACACTATCTCTGATTGTAAGTATTCCACGTTTTCCCCGAGGCCACTTCCGAAACCATGGTTTAGGTTTTTCAGCTTTGGCTTCATCTGTGGCTCAAAAATCATGTGGTAACCTGTAATTCCAAAACCGAAGGAAAAACTAAAAAAAAAAAGCATTTGTTATACTTTTTTTTTTTCAAATTTACTGAAATCATGTGAAAAAAATTCAAAACTGATGTTCCCAAAATGTTTCCACTAAAAAAATTATAACAATGTTAATTTTTGAAAAATAGTGATTCAGTCTGCTTTTGAATTATGCTTTATGTTTATTTGTTGGTGTTTTTTTTTCTTCAGTGCCCAAGGTTGAGTTCCGTGACCTGACCTACGAGATCAACGAAAATGACGGCACGGTCACGGCGGTTATCGTCCGCAGCGGTGACCTGTCCATCACCAGCACGGTCCGCTGCTACACCCGGCAGGGCTCCGCCCAGGTCATGATGGACTTTGACGAGCGGCCCAACATCGAGTCTTCCATCGTCACCTTCTTGCCTGGTAAGATTTATTTTTTCGACGAAGACTGATCCCGTTTTGTCTCTAACGAAACCTTTCTGCCTGTCTACAGGTTTGAGATTTTTCAAACTTAAGTCCAAAATCTGATTTTTTGACTCTGACAGAATGCCATTATCAGTATGGAAACAAATGCATCTTTTAGACCTCTTATCCAATTTTAATACTTTTTTTTCAAATTGACATTATTCCTGTGTCGCATTGACAGCATGTATTGGCAAATTAGATCACCAGCATTGGGCAGGTGTCCACAGAAGCTCAGTCAACCTCGGTCACAAGTTATGTGGGAAATGCACACAAACCAAGGACAGGCAGAGCTCTTGGCCACAACAGGAACGGTGCAATAGGGTTTGGTAGCGCGTCAAAACATCTTCTGCATCTTGGAAAAGCAACTCGTCTAATGGAAAAAGCCACCAAAGCAAAATCCATAAAAGAATCCTTGATTTTTTTGCAAAGCTCTGCTCTATATCGGATTCTAATTGGCCAACCCACCCTAGCAAACTCTGTGGTTAAGACTTCCGCAGTTGTAAGCAGGAGGTAGTGGGTTCGATTTCAACCCAAGCAGCTTTTTTTTCTTAGCTTGTCTTACAGCACCGTCGGTAAAGAGCAAAGTTCAAGACTAGTTGTGTGTGGCTGCTCTATTAAGACTAATTGAGAGGCGGCATAAACATCTCGTATTTCGGCACTTAGGAACAAGGCACTCAGAGACACATTCATGCTCTTCCTGTAGTCATTAATGTTCGGGAAGGGGACCATCAAACTGGTTTCAAATGGCCCACTGAGCATTTCCCCGTTTTCAACCCCTGAGTGCTTTGTTCAAGAAGAAGTGGGTCATGCGTGGAACGTTTTTTTTTTTTTACATCTTTTGCTCATCCGGTCACGGAAGGAAACACATCGATAACAGCTGGCCTGCGTGAGATCACACCGTCCGCATCTGTCGTCAGTAATGTGTCACTGTGTTTACACGCGAGCATGAGAGTGTGTTAGCCAGCAGGCAACATTCAGTGAGCAAGTATTTTTTTTGTCGAGGGTCGCCGCACATTTCAAGAACTTTTAAGAAGGGTTGTTAATAGGTTCTTTCCTTCGAGACGTTGGACTCCCCGGAGTTCCTATTCCGGCTTTCATCCCCCTGGTATTGTGTGTTATAATTACTTCCTATTTTCATGAAGGCAGAAACGAGGGAATGTGCACGTAGTCCTACGGACCTGATTTAGTCGGAAAATAGTTCCGTGTTAAAACAAAAATCATGAAGAGAGCCAAGAAGCTGCTGTTTTTACCGTTAAACTCAAGAAGATGCTTTGTATCAACATATCGTGTCGTAATAATTGTATGTCCTGATAACGGGGAACCAGTGAAATGTAGTACCTGTATATCACATTGCATGGTTAACTGGTAACCTCATGGAGGTACCAAGCTGACAGGTGTTGCCCACTGATTACACGCGTCATGCAAATTAATCACCTTTAACTCTCCGGTTCAGCAAGCCGATCTGTCGTATTCATTCAAAATGTCGGCGTCTGTGAACTGCAAGCCAGTAACCCAATGTATGAGTATTGGCTGGAACATTGGTGTATCATTTTATTTACATTTTATAAAGACAGTTACTTCAATACTGGGCAATTCCGGCATCAGCAAAGGACGTGTAATGTCCGTGACAGAGCCAATTAACCATGATATCCGAATAATGATTCAGAGAAACGATCCAAAACTCCTAGTCTGTAATCTCCTTGACCATTACTAGATGATGGATGCATAAGATTTATACACTTGGCTCTTAAAAGCACCGCCATGGACATTATATAGCGCTTGAATTGCCGCACTGGAAGAATGAATTGGAAAAAAATGTTGCAACCTGACGCCACTTTTTTCTTCATATATCATCTCAATGAAGGTCAGTCATTGCAGAAATGATGATATGACATGAATCTGGGACTGAGAAACATTTCCAATTTTGTTACGAAATACTTAAAAAATTTGCTTGACACTCCATAGATCTTATACACAAAGTGGCTAAGGCAGCATTTTTTTCAATGAATCTTTCATCATTCAGATGTACTTCACAGGAAAATGGTGCTCACCAAATTCATACCCACATGCTAACCTGTGAGAATTTTTAGAACTCTTGGAACGACAAATTGCCTGACATATTTTTTTTCTTCTTTTCATTCCTTTCCAGGTGAGCGTTCCAAGGAGTGCACAGTCCTGCTGATGGACGACAACGTGTTTGAGAACGATGAGCAGTTCCGTCTGGTCCTGGGCAACCCGCGCACGGACTCCGGTCTGCAGGCCATGGTGGGAGAACAGAACGAGACCACTATCACCATCCACGATGTCGGAGACAGTACGTACTCACTTCTAGGGAAAAACGATAAGGAAAAAAGCACAAAAGGGCTCAAAAGAAATTTAAAAAATCCTCCCAAAAAGCAAAAACTGTAGAGACAGTACGTACTCACTTCTAGGGAAAACGATAAGGAAAAAAGCACAATAGTGCTAAAAAGAAAGAAACAAATCCTCCCCAAAAATCAAAAACTGTAAAGAATTAATTTTTGTGTGGCATGTGGCTAAAAACAGATAGCAAAGATACCTGAGATTACCTAACATAAATTTGGTTTGTTATTTTTATTTATTTTTTTGGATCCTATTTCCAAAATTTCTCTGGAGATTCCAAAATCTTGACTAAATTGTACGAGGAAAGCCACTTGTCTATATTTGAGGTTTCAAGTTTAATTCTTGTTCTGTCAAATTTTGTCATTTTATGTTTGAGAGACATAATTGTTTAAGGGTTTTTTTAAATTTTAAACAAGGAAGCATATCTGTAGAAGTGTACAAAAACCATACATTTTATTAGGAAAAACTGGAAAAAAGTTTTTCTCAAATTTTCCTCTTGGCATTTTCTAACTTCATCTGGTGATTTTAATTTTTTTCTTCTTCTGTCCAGGGCCCATCATCAAGTTCCCAGAGACCCGCTTCACCGTCAACGAACCAACAAACGAGGACGACATCAGCACAGTGCGTATCCCCGTCATCCGCATGGGCGATACCACCCAGGTCTCCATCGTTCGCGTCTTCACCAAGGACGGCTCGGCCAAGAGTGGCATCGACTACAACCCGCTCTCCCAACGTACGTACATTTTCGTTTTAAAATGTCCTTGTATGTTTGTGTGCGTTTGTTAATGGTGTGAATCGAGGAAACACACACCTGCAACATCATCAGTGAATCGAGGACAGGAACCAAATCGAGGACGACCTTGATTAGAAAACGTGTACAAAACCAATGAGAGCTGTTGCGAAAAAGTTAAGGTATAAACAAAGGAAAAGGGAAGAGGAACAAAAGAAAATTCTTGATTTACACCATAAACAAATGTGCGTGTCTGTGTCTGTCTGTCTGTGTTTCATGTGTTTACGGTTGATTGTGCGTAGAATCTTGCCCAGCTTTGCCCTTCATCCTGTTCTTGTTAGTGTCTCAAAACGGAAAGCAGAGGTCAGCTTAATCCAAACTGTCAGAAAACGTCATAAAATTTCCATATTGAGACCCGTCACATTTTTCCTGCCAATAACAAGAAACAGCGATTACGTCTTCAGGGCAGGAAGTCAATTTCCTAACGAACCTGAGAGAGAAAAAAAGTCTGAAAACGTTTACCGATTTTGACATCTTTGAGCTCAGGGTGCAGTGGGTAATCGTAGTGCAACACGTTTCTCCCTTATACAACTTATACAACGTTTCTATGGCAGTTAAAGCTGGAGTGTAGGAGTGAAGGTTTTTATCTGGACTTCTCCAGAAGGGGTCGGCCTATCCCCGGACCAACACCCTATCCTGCTTTTTAATTATAACTGAAAAACAAGTTAATTAAGACCTTTCGAGAAAATCACGGAAGCCTTTATGATTAAGTAGTTTAGGAGTGGGTTTTGTGAAGCTGAATAAGGTTGGGCCGTATTTTGGTCTCTGCTTATTGGGTAGGAAAAGCGGTTTAAGGTAATCTTAAAAAAAAAATTCTGTTAGTAGCATTTTGACAATCATCATTTCAGTTTGTTCCCATTCTCTGATAATTCTGACTTATTTTTTTGACAAAGGAGCAAAACTTTTTCCCAGTGGTTTTTAAACCATGCCTCTCCAAAAAACTTTGAACCATTTAAAAAAAAAAAGTTTTTGAAATCAAGTGTCACTATTTGTTGAAATTAGCGTGATCGAATGATTGATTGAATGATGGTAACAAGGTCCCCATGGCTACCAGGATCTGAGGTCGTGACCCTGGATGACCTTAGACCTGTCAGTGTCTATTGTCTTAGACACTGAACAGTCTACCTGTCCCAGGAACTTTGACCTTCCATTCTTTTGATTGGTGGACAAGAAACTGTCAATTTAATTGGTCAGACCTTGTGAACAAAAAACATTCTTTCGCAATCACCAAGAAATGGATGAAGCTTCACTTCAAAGGCTTCAGTCAGAATTTTTCCCGTGTAGTTAAGACTCTTTCAACCCAAATTTTAAAAGCTCTTTCAACCCAATTTTTTTTTCTATGATTCCCTTGAGTGTTTCTCTTCATTTTGCGACAAATAAACCTAACCCCAAAATGCCTCTAAACCTGTTTTCCAGAGAGGGGGAAACACTGTGTGGACGTGGGCAAGTCCACACAACATATCTGAAACCTGGTTTATGTGGACATCTTTTGTTCGGAAGTCCACACAGTGAATGTGTTGCTTGTACATTCCTACCACTGGGATTTTTGAAAGTGGCGAAAAGGGCCATCTACAGTTCAATCACAACCCCATTTAAACTCTGTCCGACCCTCGTGGCTTGTCAGCAAGCTCCAAGTCTGACCTTAACAAAGACCCCCAATCCCATGTCTGTCATGTATTCATTGGCCTTAATACACCTCCAGCTGCCAGTACAGGGTTTGACAAAACAAACAATCCCTAGTCCCAAAGAACTTGTCCCTTGAAATGTCATCAGGCGACCCCCAAAACCCCCCTCTTTTGATTTCAACAGAATCAGTCCGAATAGAATAGTTGAGATATAACTAAGGTTTGCCAGACGCAAGGCAGCTGTCAGAAAAATAAAATTGGCCTTATTTGTTAGGTCTTGAGTGGAAACAGACAGATCTTTTTTGGACAAGGTCTAGTTTGGCATGCCAAATTTTTTTTTTTTCGCTCCAAAGGTCACTCCAGTTTTTGGTTAAAGTTTACTGCGCCACAAATACTCCAAATGCTAATTTCCCCAGAGAGGTTTTAACCTTGATAAGATCAAGTCCTGAAATCTTTTTAAAAATTTAATCAGCATTTTGTAAGAGTGGTCAAATTTTACATCGGAAAGGAGAATTAAACCCATCCATGTTGGGAATTGAATTTTATTGAGACGCTAAGCAGAAATATCTGCTTACGCACAAAAGATGTAAAAAAAACCAAAAAACTGGGTACCAGTCGAGGTAATGTACATTGCATGACATTTTGGCTGGTAATCGTTTTTGCTTAGCAGAATTTGTCTCTGCTTAGTCTATGGTCTATGCAAGTCTATGGTAAGCGGCTGCAGCCGCTACCATAGACGTATGCGTAATTTCAAGCCGCAGTCAAATCATTCTTACACGGCCTACTTTCCGTGCTCATCGATTTCATAACCTTTTACCCCCAATTAGAAGCAGCTCTCCATCGGGCAGTTGGGAATATCTTTGCAAGCATTTAATGCCAGATTTAATGAGTCCCGTCAGTTTTAAATGTCCACGTCTATAAAAAAAAAAATATGGAAATTAAATTATATTGTTTGGCTTAGCAAAAGTACACAAGGGATACGCGTGCTTTAGTGCAAGAACAGCTTTTGAAATGTCATCTATTTTGGTTGCAAACTGAGACAAATTTCATTTCCCTGCCCAAACTGAAAAATGGAATGAAGCATGAGACAGATGTCAGAGCGTATTAATGAAAAAAACAGTGAACAACTTTGTGCCATAACTTGGCAATGTTACAATCTGTACATCTTTGGCAGTTTAAAACTAACACATTCTGGAGTCGAACTTAAACATAAAACGCAAGTTATTAATCCAGATTTTTGTGAGCTGGACAACATTTTAGAAAGTAAATTTAAAATGAAATGAATTCTTCTAGAGTTATTGATTTTAAATGATTTTTTTAGATAGTTCTACTACTAATTCGGTTTTCCTTCCATCTTTACAACTCCTGCAAATTCCTAAAGACAGTAACTGTATCAGAGACTGGCCGGCAAAAAAATAAAGCAAAAAAATTCATGGCATAAAAACCTTAAAGACCTAAATCCAGTCAGTGTTTTTTCACTGGCACCCAGCCCCCTAGTCCCTTGGGTGCCTTCTGGTTTATGCACTGGAGACTTGTTCAATTACAAGAGATGTAAACCAACTATGACCCCAAACTTGTCAGGCCACTGCCAAATAACACGGCCCTGCTGTTTAACCCCATTTGGTTTAGGGATATTCTTCAGATTAGGTTACGTTTTTAAAGGAATCACACAGTCTTTTTTTCCTTCTTTATTGTTTCTTATGTGTGATTCCACAAAATGAGTCTTAAAAGTTTTTTCACTGACTGGTTTTTCATATGCATTAGAGAGAACGCCCTCAGCTTTTCATTTTGATAACAATACCCAGTTTGACATCCTGGTGAATTTTGACATGTGGTGATGAGCAGTATATATGTGGTATAAAACTCTTAATGTTTTGGTACTTTGAAATACAGGACTTGAGTTTGGCTCCAACGTGACGGAGTTGTTCGTGGACATCGAAATCTTGCCGGACCAGGACAGAAACGAGATGAGGGAGGCCTTCACCGTTCACCTAACCATGGACGAGATGATGGTGGCTGAAATCCAGGTAAATAAATAAACAAACAAACAAACAAACAAACAGTTGGCCAAAACGAAAATAAAAGATTGGCAACTCACTTCCACCAATTAGTCAATAATATCCTAAACTCTCTTGGTATGTTTGCTTACAAATCTCCTGAATCCTCAAAAAAAAAATAAACACAGTTATGGAGGTAAAATATGCCATGTTCTCTATTTGGGCAATCCCATGATGTAATGTCCGTGAGGGAGCTTTGAAAAGCTTCAGTGAATAAGCCTGAAAAATGTAGTTGTCAAATCTTTAACATCCATCATCTGGTAATGGCCAAGGAGATTACAGACTAGGAGTTTTGGATTGTTTCTCTGAATCATTAATTAGATATCATGATTAATTGGCGTCATCATGGACATTACACTTCCTTTCATAACGCCTGAATTGCCCGTGTCACTAACGACAATTTGTACATGTTTTTGTGTCCGTCGCAGATGAACAAGGCTCTGGTGTACATTGAGCAGGAAGGCCAGCAGTCTGGTGTCACCTTCCCCTCCGCACCGGTTGTTGTCTCCCTCCTGGACTACGACACCGTGGAGCTGGCCAGGGACTTCCCACCACGCGGTTACCCCGTTGTCTGCATCACAGTAAGTTTCCGTACTCAAGGCTGAATGGATCAGCAATTCGCAGAACTTATTAAAAGACATGTTGATTTTTGAAATCTCAACGATAATTTTAACCTTTCAATATCTCATCTTTGCCCCCCTCCCCTACCACAGCCTTGCAACCCCAAGCACCCCGACTACGCCACCACTGGCTCCATCTGCACCAACGAGGGCGTCAACGACACCTTGACCGAGTTCCGTTGGCTGGTGTCCGCTCCAACGACCGCCGCTGGGGTCACCTACCCACTCAGAGACGTTGAGAGCAACACCTTCTTCACCGACTCCAACATGGTGAGCAAGAAATGACGAGCAGCTTTCCTAACTGAAAGGCATCCCTATCTTGGCATTCATTGTGAATCGGTTATTCTGAAGCTTGTTGTAAAATATCTTGCTCCTGGACACAATAGCTTTGAACCACCTGCTGGAGTTATTTAGACCACTTGTCAGGGGTTCTCATCTTCAAATCCTTTCCCTTTACTCCTCGCTTCTTAGATCACCCTGGACAGCATCTACTTCGGCCCAGGATCCCGCGTCCAGTGCGCTGCCCGCGCGGTCAGCAACCAGGGCGACGCAGGCCGTGAGCACAGCAGTCTGCCAGTCACCATCAGCACAGAGGAGGGCGTCTGCCTGCCACGACTGGCCGAGGCCATCGGAGCCGAACCCTACACCGCTAAGCTGAAGTACACCGGACCCACGGACCTGGAACACCCCAACAAGCTCAAGCTGAGCATCACCATGCCTCATGTTGGTCAGTATCCAAAGTTATTTCAGCCGGTCTCAAAGGGCCAGCATACTGTCCTCGGTCTCACTGAGTCACTGACTCATTGTGTCACTGACTCACCGAGTCACTGATTCACCGAGTCGAGGAGAATGAATTCGCTGTTGAAATTTCCTTATAATGAACATGAACAAAATTACCTTGCCCGCTTAAGGTGCTGCTGGACTAGCCAAACTAGTCTTGTTTATCTGCGGTAAAAGATAAGTTCTTGGAAGTTATGATCTTCTGTTCTTGCCAAAGCATTTCTAATTCCACATGGGATGTTAAAGTTGCTCTGCTTACCGGTGAATTTTGTGCTTATGATCACCAATTCTTTGCATACATTGCTTGCACTTAAATTTTGAAAAATGAACATAACTTTATTAGTCTGAAAGTTGTTTCAACTTCATTTTGTTTTTCTCAAGCTTATGAAAGTGGTTGGACTGTTGAAAAAAAAGGACCTTTAAACAACGAAACAGTTCTAAATTTTCTTCTTTTCCAATTTTTCAGACGGTATGTTGCCGGTCATCTCCACCCGCCAGCTGTCCAACTTTGAGCTGGCCCTGAGCAAGGACGGCTACCGAGTCGGCACCCACCGCTGCTCCAACCTGCTGGACTACAACGAGATCCCCACCGAGTACGGCTTCATCAACAGCGAGACCAAGAACGCCAACGTCATCGGCCAGTCGCAGCCGTACCAGTTCAGCACCGAGATGCGGGGCGCCGCCACGCTGCGCTTCTATCGCAACCTGGACCTGGAGGCCTGTCTGTGGGACTTCACCACCTACTACGACATGTCGGAGCTGCTGAACGAGTGCGGTGGGCAGATCGGTACTGATGGACAGGTAAGATAATCAAATTTTGAAAAACAAAGTTCGAAGATATTTGGAGAAAGCCTCACGCCTTGAAGCTCATCCACATTAAAACAGAATAATAATGGCCAGTGTTCACCTGAATTTCCTAGACCTTTTGATATGCCCACACATGGGCTCACTTTCTTTTTGATGAGTGATTGCAACTGATAAAGTGTCTTGCCCAAGGACACAAACACTTTGATTCCACTGACTGAGCTTGATACCACATTTCAAAGAATGTGCATGATAAATAGGACTCTCGCAGATTTGCAACCCAAAAAAAATCAATAATTTGTTAAGAAGTTTGTTTTGATTTCTAAAATCTGTTTTCGGCTCAAATCAATCCTAATTTCCAGTTGTATCCCAAACTCCAATTAAAATGTTGACTTTTTCTCCCTTGGTCGTGGTAGGTCCTAGACTTGGTTCAGTCCTACGTGTCCCTGCGCATGCCCCTGTACGTCTCCAACGTCTACCACTCTCCGGCCAGCGTCGGCGGATGGCAGCACTTTGACCAGACCTCCAACCTTCAGCTCACCTTCGTCTACGACACCTCCATCTTGTGGCAGAACGGCATCGGGGCTCAGGCCATCTCGGATGACACTGTAACAGGTCAGTTCTGCTCCCCTGGACCCTCTCTCGCTCCCTTGTCAATTTTTTAGAGTTTTTCTGAGTCCTCCAAAATCCGCCATTGTCCACGTGCCACATTCTTTGTTTTCGAAACTTTAAAGGGCATCGATTAGTCCCTTAGTGAAGAATATACTGGCTGGCCTGTAGCTTTCTACCCAACAAAATCTACCAAATTTCTTGACGGATTTAGAAGGACTTTGGAGCGTCTTTAAGGAACAGTGTCATTTCGGCTCAAATTTCTTCAACAAATCGTTAAAAATTAACCAGAGCTATTGTAACTTGAAACTAAGTGGAGACGAAGAAGTGTTGCATTGCATGACATACTTTGAGATCCTTTATTATAAACAAATACCAAACCTCCAGTTTATACTTCTTATTTCTTCACAAGATCTCCTCTCCAAAACTCATGCACTGCTTCAAAAGTCAACTTTTTGCCGAATTTCTTGTCATTGTGTTTTCAATTGATGTTGCATTTGTTCTCGTTCAGGTTCCCTGTTCCCGACCAGCATGCGAATTGACGAGAACGGCCGCCTGGTGGTCAACTTCCGCACGGACGCCCAGTTCCGTGGTCAGTTTGTCCTGGACCACCCGTCCATCAGCGCCACCTCCTCGGTCATCTCCGTGGACCGACCCGACCTGACCTTTACCCTCAACCTAGTCCGGACCGAGCCCACCTTCGCCCAGCCCGAGCAGCTCTGGCAGTTTGTCTCGGATGTTGCTGTACGTATCAAGCTCCTTGTCTTTCACCCTTTCTTTCGCCCTTTCTTGAACAAGACGTGAAAAGAGAAAGAGAAGCTGACAAGAAAGCTACTCCAAGTGTGCTATAAAGAAGAAGACCTCATTATTATGACAATTTTGGGTTTTCCAGGAACTTTGACTTAGTCAAATTTGGGAAATTCCTTGCGTTAGTCCAAAAATGAAGTTAACTCTATTTCTTTTTCTTCTCATTCTTTTATCCCAAATATTCATAGACGTTGTACATTCCGAAGTTCATGTCTTGTTTTTATTACGTTTACTCAATTTCTTTCCTTCTAATTCCTCTATCCCAAATACTCATAATCATTGTACATTCTAAAGCTCATGTCTTGTTTTTGTAACATGAAGTCTTTTTTTCCCCTTCTAATTCTTCTATCCCAACTACTCATAGACTTTATGCATTCTAAAGCTGACATGTTATCTTCATTGCGTTCTGTGTTTCAGATTTCCGACTACAGCGGCATGTACACCATCCGCCTCATCCCTTGCACCACCACGCCCACCCAGGAGTACAGCCTGCCCGTAGTCTGCAACCCCCGCGACATCATCAACTTTGACCTCCCGTTGCGATTCCAGCAGGTCAGCGACCCCGTGCCGGCCGAGTTCAGCCTGAACACGCAGTTCATGCTGCTGGGCAAGGAGATGCTGTGGCTGTCCGACGGCTCCATGGGCTTCGGCGAGGGAACCGATACTGCTTTTGCTCCTGGTGAGTTGAACATTTTACTTGAGCTTGGGACTTTTCCCAAATTGAGGATTCGGATTTGGCCTACGGAGATTTTCTTTAGATTTGTAGGCACCTGATTTGGGGTCTCAGTGTTTCAGACAATATTCTCTGACCGTCGCCAGGGGCCAATTTCACGGCGCTGCTAAGCACAAAAATTTGCTTAGCACCAAAAAAGTCTGGCTTATAAGAGCAGATATCAGCCAAAACTGCATGCGATTTTCATGCTAAGCAAACAATAGCTGAATACTAATCACGAGCAATATACATCACGTGGAGCTTTGGCTGGTAACCTGCTTTTATAAGCCAGACTTTCTTTATGCTAAGCAAATTTTTGTGGTTAGCAGCACCATGAAATTGGCCCCAGGAGACTTAGTTGAACCATGGATCCTCTACACTAGGATAAACAACTCATCTGAGCTTGTGTACAAAATGCACGGAACGGATTGTCTACATGCGTGATACTACGCGTCCGCGCATAGAACAACGATTAGAACATGTAGAACAATGCGAGCCCCATGATCGCCGACAGCTGGCGCCGGCCTACATGCAATCTCGTTGAAATCCGTCAGAAACTTGACTGCAGTCGTGCGACGAGTCTCGCATACGCACACGTACACAGGCTGTATCACGCATGTAACCAGAAATTTGGGGAAGTCATTTATCCTCGTGTGGAGGATCCGTGGTTCAACATTCTCTGTCAGGAAATCAAATCCCATGTTCCATTTTGTTTTGACAAGAAGTCTTCTTGATGATTTTTAAGCCAGAAAAGAAAATAAACCTGACAAGGAACCCATCAAGATTACTATTACTCCTATATATAAAGAAGTATTGGTTCTCGAAGAACCTGTTTTTCTGTTGCAAACGCTGTCTTTAAGAGAATGCTAGACTGTGGTTGACGCTTACACGCAACATTTTGAGACGAGTTTCTACCATCCGTGTATGCCATTAGACGATTCGATATCTGACTTACTTTATGGTTGTTTTTTTATTCCTTAGGTGACACCGTGTTTGGTCGCATCCACGTCGACCCAGTCCAGAATCTCGGAGATGGCTTCAGGCTGAACATTGAGAAGGTCTTCCTGTGCACCGGTCGCGACGGCTACATCCCCAAGTACAACCCAAACAACGGGGAGTACGGCTGCGTGGCCGACTCGCCCAACCTCCTCTATGCCTTCAAGGTCTTGGTAAGTTAAAAACCACAAAACCTATAGACTGATCCAGCCAATGCAATCGTCATCCAGAAGTCGTTATTATGGTGGAACCACAATTAACCAATCGTAGAATCCATCAACGCAGCTTGTGAAATATTGTCCAATCACATGATATACAAATGGACGTGGAACGTGCAAACTCCGAGACAAACAAAACATAACGTACAAAATTCCATAGGCTTGTCTAAGGGCGTTGCTAACACGCAAACGGCGATAGGTCAATTGCACGCAAGTCTTACAGATTCTTAAACCCTTTTCGTAAGCCTTTTGGTGGGGGGGGGGGGAGGGGGAGTAGTTAAGGTTGCTGATTTGTGATCAGAGGGTCAGGGATGCAGAACCAAATGCTGGCCATATTTTGTGTCCTCAGGCAAGCTACTTTACCCTAACCTGCTTCTCTCCACCCAGGAGTATAACTGCCGTACCGATGAATTGGTTGTGCCAGAAACCCATTCGGAATCGAACTTATATTTTGCTTTTCTTAATTTTTTAATTTGAACAGGACCGTGGAGCACCGGACACGATCACTCCCCGATTCAGCGGAATTCCGTTCAACGCTGCCCTGGCCATTGACGACCCGACTGCCCTGGATCTGGTCAGGCAGTCTGGAGCTGACGGCTTCAGGATGAGCAGTGATCCACTCTTCCAGGTACGGACATGTCTGCACCATGCAAAAAAACAAAACAGCCGAGTACCAGTTGACAATAAACATGCCATGACAGTTTGGCTGGTGACCTGTGTTTGCTGAGCTGATCTCTTCCGTGCTTAGCAAGAAAACACCAAATTTGTGCTTAACTACAGCGTGAAATAAATTCTCCCCTGGTGCAGTTACTAGTAATCACAATTGTCGATATTGGAAATCCCTGAAGAAGGAGAAATATCGCGGTTTGTCGCTGATAAACTTGTTACATCCAAAACTCTAAAGTCAAGTTAGTGCATGAAATATGCAAGTACCCAGAATGCCAATATTCACCTGTTTACGTGTTTCCAAACTCAAGACCTCAATATTTTACATGCATTATATCCTTAAATTAAGCAAGAGGCAAATTGTTTTGGGGGTTTTGTTTTGGATATGGGTGTACATTACAGTTGCCTTGCGATTTCTTATCTTGGATCCTCTTTTAGAGTTTTGTGATCTTTCAGAACTGTGAATGAGTTGAAGAGCATGTTGTACTCATTTCTCTGTTTTTGGTTCCTATTTGCAGGTGTCGTCTGGCCGTCAGTGGTACGTGCACTCCATTTTCACCGTGCGCTCGGCCGAGAACAACAACATTGGCAAGCGCAGCGTGGAGCACCACAGCTTTGCCGTGGCTCCGGCGGCCAACAGGCAGCGCCGCCAGGCCATCAGCTCCGTCTCCGGTGACGACAACGACTTGCAGCTCGGAGAAGGCCAGGGCATCAACATCAAGTGGCTCGCTCTGAAATCCAACGATCTGTCGACCAACGATATTGACGACATCAATGTAGGGGGCAAATCGAACAGCGGTAAGAACCCTACCCCTGGCGAAGGCGGATTCCCCGTGGTGCCCATCGTGGCCACCGTCGCGGTCCTAATCGTGCTGCTCGTGGTCGTGATCGTAGTCCTGGTCGCCCGTCGTCGGCGCTCTGAACCCAAACCGGTGATTGTCGCGGCCGGTAATGGTGCCACCAAAGTTGTAGCCAACGGCTCCTACATGGACGACAACACAGAAGTGTGATGTGGTGTTGATGTTTCAAAAAAATCAACAAGCATTATCATGCTGCTGTAGCACATTTTTTTTTTTCCCTTTTTTTTTTTTTTAAACTATATTTCTGTCTGTCTTTTTTAAAACTGTGACGCTTTTAGTCCTGGCTCCCATGCTGTTAAAATTAATTTATATTTGTGTATGAAGTTGTTACATTTTGAGAGCCAATTTTTTTTCTCGCAATTTTTTTTGTTTTGGCAAGTTTTTTTTTTAATATCCTAGGCTAAGAAGGGAGATGAATTCCCTCTTTTAAGATTCTGAGGGTAGACGACAGAAAACTTTCAGAAAAATAATTTCACTTGGTGCTCTTTGCAGATTTGTTGTTTGTGTTTGTTGTATTAATTAATGTAAAATGAATTTTTAACCCTTGTGAGTTAGCAGTTTTTTAATGGGCTGTAGGTTTTATTTTTTATATATTCACACACTTCATGTGTTTGTTTTCCCCGTTTGTTTTATTTTTGCTCTATTTTTGTATCCCGTAGGCTTTGCTCTTTTTTCCTCTTTTAGGTAGGTGCAATTGACTTAATGTTAATTTTGACCTACACCAGAAATCATGTGTCTTCCGATTGTGGGATTTTAAATACGAGACTGTAATAGTATTTTTTTGTTAAAAAGTGGTTTTCAAGAACTATTTTTTTTATTTGTTATATCTGTTTACATCTGTATTGGTTTTGTGCTGCGGTGAAATGGACAGTGCATTGAACATTAGATTTAGAATAAGCAACGAGTTATCATCCATTTTTTGCTCGTTTCGGAAATGCTTGATTGAAATTAACAATTTTTAAATCTCTTAATTAACCGACTGTAAAACGCAAACGTTTCTGTCAGTTTTTAGATAATTCTAGTCCTGCCTGTATATTTTCGTTTCCCTGGTAACGCTGCAACCATCCTGCCCTCTAGTGTCGGGTTGGGATCCATTCTCGCCTATTTAAATTTCCACTTGTAAATAGTAAGTAGTGATCCACAAACCATATTCTGTAATAGGGTGCACGATTTTTTAAAAGTTGTGGTGGAACAAAAGCAAAACAAAAATATGCAAACCAACAAAATAAAAAATAGATGTAAAAATGAAGGTTTTCCACCTTGTGCGTATCTCTGCAGTAGTTATAGTTTAGCACACAGTTATATAAATTAATCTTTAATAATATTTCCATATTTTAAATATTTTTTTAAGAGTGGTGAGAGTGATATTATGACACAGCTTCCAGAACCCCACACGCAACTTCAAGTGACCAATTTGTAAAAGAAAATAACATAATCCTTTAGAATGTTGTACAATGTTTCGGACCTGGTCTTCAGAAATAATTGAATGCCAGGTTTGTTTTTTTTCTGATGAGGCTTCAATCGTATTTATACACTAAAGGGCACTTGCGATAGCTTTTTTCAAAAACAACAATCCCTCAGCAAGCCGCTCCGGATATTTTGAAGTCCGGTTTCAAAAAAGTCTAGCTCGCCATTTCTAAACGCAGATTGCCGTTGCTTGTTGCCTACTATATGACCGCTGCAATCGGACCAAATTGTACAAAACAGAATTCGGTATCCCCGGAAAAAGGGATCTGCATGTTAAAATGCTCATAAACGTAGAAAATTCATACTTTTTAGGGGGGTAATGAATTGTGGTGGAATGCTTGATATTGTAAGCTTGTGAATTAATATTACACAACAATAGTGACTTAACATTATCATATTAAAACAAGATTCCTACTACTAACTGATAATCGAAGCTCTTGTGTATCGTATCACAAAGTTAGTTTTTTTTTTAATAGTTATAAAAAGGTAGAAGGGGAAATATGTTAAGAAAAAAAGCTTAGTTTCTTTTTTTGGACTAAACATGGCCTAGAAACAAAATAAAAATTGTTTGCTGGTTTGTATTCCAGGATGAAAGTCTTCTAGATCGCTTTTTTTTTTTGAAAATCTGTCCGATGGAAAAAAAAGTTTGAACGATGAGGCGAATAGTCCCGAAAAGCCACCTTAAGCCTTGGACTTTAGTCGTTAAGTTATAAATCTTTTGATGGTGCTGTATTAAAAAAAAAAAAAAATAAAAGATATTTTGAGACTCGACTGTTATTGCCTACTTGAAGTTTTCCCACCATGAGAAATAAAAATCACCCCAAAATAATCCTTGCCTCATGAAAATGCTCATAACACACACGCACTCCAAAAAAAATCAACCAAATAATAATTATCATAAGTTACCCAATAATGCAGTCATTTTGGGATTGGAATTTTTCCTGGAGTGATGTTTTGCAATATTTAGTCAGTGATAAAGATAATGAATCGGAGAAAAAATTATTCATTTGCAATGAGTTGTTTTTGTTATTTTAAGTGGTGAGAACGTTTCTGTTTTGGTTATTATTTTTTTAATTTGAAAAAAAAAAAAAAACGCTGTTATTATCGTTAACTGTATTTGGTTTTTACAAAAAGCTGGGCGTGATTTTTTTTGTTTTTTTAACTTGCACGATTTATATTTTGGTTTGTATCATTATTATTGTTAAAATCAGTATGCTGAACGCCCTGTATTTTCTGTAGTGGAGGACAAGATAGTTTTGGCCCCTCCGTACTGTTTGTATGTTACCATATTCTCTGGTGATAGGTATCTTTATGACGACGTGTTACTGTACTAGCATGTACCATGGGGTTTGCTGCAGTGGGCTTATTTTTACTCAATTAAAACAATAGGGCATTGCATTGGCTTGGTGGGAAAAAAAGGAGTTGTCGTCTCCTGTGTATCATTTGTGGTGTCTTTTGGAAGCTGTTTCACACAAGACAAACCTAAGGATGGTGCTACCCCCCCCCCCCCCCTTATACACACACCCCTATCTGGAAACTATATGCCTCATGGAAAATAACAGTGTTGTAGTCGAGTACTTGTACGAGTACTTGTACCTCCGAGTACAATAACGGGTGTACGAGTACTGGTACGTACGAGTACTCGCATTTCACAATACGGCCATACGGCAAATGGTTCATGCGGCGTAATTGGCCCAGGCCCAGTCAGACTGATATACAGACCCACTCACGGCTAGCTGTTAAATGTGTTTGTCCGAATGTGCACAGAGGAAAATCAGGAAATCTCGATTTCTCCACAAGCCAATCAACCATTTCAAAATGAAAGAATCGATAAAATAAGGCCATGGTAAGTGAAGCTATAACATTTTTCCCCCCGAGTACTGCTATTCGAGTACGAGTACTTTAAAGATCGAGTACAATTTCGACATGTCGAGTACGAGTACTTTTCTGCCCGAGTACGAGTACCATGATTTCGAGTATGAGTACTTTGCTGCCCGAGTACGAGTACCGTCATTTCGAGCACGAGTACGAGTTCTCCCAAAAAAGTACTCGAGTAGTACTCGAGTACGAGTACCGAGTACGAGTACTACAACACTGGAAAATAACCATCTTTAACACTCAAACCCAGTGTTGTAGTACTCGTACTCGGTACCCGTACTTGAGTACTACTAGAGTACTAGAGTACTTTTTTTACAGTACTTGTTTTACTTTATCGATACTTTCAGTTTTAAGTGGTTGATTGGCTTGCAGAGAAATCAAAGTTTCCTGATTTTCTTCCGTGCAAGTCCGGACAAACACATTTAACAGCTAGCCGTGAGTGGGTCTGTATATCGGTCTGACTGGGCCTGGGCCAGTTACGCACAAAGGACCATTTGCTGTATGGCCGTATTTGAAAATAGAAGTACTCGTACTCGTACTCGGAATACAAGTACACTTACAAGTACTCGTACTCGGTAACCTAAGTACTCGGCAGTACTCTACTACAACACTGCTCAAACCCTTACAGAAATCCAACCACCATCTTCCCTGCAAATTTCAAGCAATTTAATTTTTTTGGCCAAAATGAAATGCAAGGGGTTAACCTTGCATTTTTAATCAAATTTGGCCTAAAATTTACTTTTCTCCAATCACTCAAAAATTCCTCTAGATGGAAGAGGACTATCAATCAATATTCAAACTCACAGAATTTTGAAGATTTGGGCACAAAGCATCGAGTTGTTACCCCTAATTTTAAGAATTTTACCTCAAATTCATGATGCATTTATTTCTCTTAAATAGCACATCTGTCCAAAAATTGAGTTGGAATGTATTCTAGGGCTCCTTTACGCATCGTCCCTGCAAATTTCAAGCAATTTCATTTCTTGGCCTAAATTCACTAAACAACTGCAAGGGGTTAACCTTAAAACAGTCCCCGAATAGCAAATTTATTTTGGATCAAGGCAAATCCGAGATGTTCGGAGAAGGGTTAATTTAGCCTCAGAACTTTGCTTAAAAATAGTTATTAATCTATTTGCTCACGATTTCAAAAAGACGTTGCTCCATGGAGCACAAAACACTTTCACAGGTATGACCATAGGACTGTCTTGCATTGAAATCGTTCTTGATAAATTTAGAGAAAAGTCAATCTTGTGCAGAATATTTATTCAAATACAAGGTTAACCCCTTGCTACTTTCGCACAAAATTTGGCTTTTTTTTAAAAAGCCCAAAAGAAAACTTGAAAGTAATACAACGGTTATATTACATTGAGAGGCACTTTGGAGGTCTTTTTGGGGGCTGCATCAGAATTTTAGTTTCAAAGGATAACGCTTGGCCTTTTTCAAATGTTGCCTGAAATGCCTTATTGACAACTATGAGCCACCGAATGCATTGAAAAGCATTTCCAAGTGACGTTAGCTTTTACCAATTCCATTTACATTTTAGCTCACATCAGTTGCTTTCAAAACGTCCAAGGGATATCAATAATCATTTATTTTTGAGAAAAAAAAAATGTGCCCTTTCTCGCATTTTACAAAAAAAACACACCAAATGCTTCAATGAAAAAAAGAAGACTTTAAAATAGGTTTGCTTGAGACTAAATTTTTAGGTTTTTTTTATACGACTACTAAACGACCTTTTAAACAATGGATCCCACAAGTGTGGCAATGTGTTTATATTGCATCAAATAATATTTAATATCAAAGGTAACTCAGATTGTGTATAAAAAAATATGTATCCATTTTTTAAACATTTAAAAAAAAAAATCATGACACGTACATAAAATTGTTAAATATAATGTCTGTACTGGTCGTAATTCTCAACATTGAAAGACTGAACCCTGCATTTCCTTCGGCAGGAGAAGTTTACAACGGATGCAAACAAACATAATCCATTAAATCATTGAAACATTAAAATGAAATAATATTACACATTATTATTTATATCAGGCTTCCAGCAGTAAAAAATCAGCGTATTGTACGCTTTCACAAATGTTCCCGGATGTCTACAATAATAAAGTACCCCGTTGACTGCAATAACATTATTATTGCAGTCATCCAGGCATTTTCGCTGGTTCCCGCTTGATCAAGAGCATACAAAGTCACAACTGTCAACCGCTCAACAGAGCGTAGCGCGCACGTACCGTTGAACACGGAACACGCCGCGCGCATGCAGCGTGCAGAAGGCCAGGCCGACCACCGTTGGAAAAACCTAACTATTTTTACCAAATTTACCATATTTTTTTCAGTCCAAATGATTTGTTTGCTATTGGTTCCATGTTCATGAACGGGTGCAGGCCAGCTAGACTGCTTTACCTTACAATTTTCCGGCATTTTTTTTTATCCATTTCATCTTTAGTGGAGTCAGGGAACCAGACTACTTGAACATTTTTGTTTTTCACTGTTTTTCCAGCATTTTCGAAAAACTTCAAACATGTCAGTGTAACAATATTTGATCTATTATACTAACCCCTCAAATAGTTCATTTCTGAAAATTACAGCAAAAGCCAATGATGTACATTCCCTTTAACATGCCAATCATTATTACCCCTGTTCATCAAACCAATAAACACTTGCATGAAGTGTCCTCCGCTCCCTGAAGGTATACAGACACGGGTTCTTAGCTTCAAGTTAAGTATACAGTACTGGGCTTACCAAGTTCCAAGTGCAAGCCTATTTCACTTCCCAGTGAAGAGATTTGATCGTAGTAAAGTATCCTCCTTGAGGACACAAGCATAATTATATAAATTGTACATGGAATGTGAGGCCAAAGAAGCCATTGCACTTTCTTTTTGTATTGTTGACAGTATGTGCGGCAGTAAATTTAACTACAATGAGCAATTCTAAGAAATACATCACTCTCTGCACAGTCAGGGGTGTCAATCGCTTCTCAAAAGTGGGGGGGGGGGGACATACGTTGATCAGAACTGATGCAAGCGCGAAGCCCTTACGGCGTGGGGTTCGGGGCCCGCTTAAAGCTACAGTCCATCATTTGTAATTTGTGCATTTTGTTCGTTTGAAGCAACAAAAGAGTTCAAAATCTAATGAAGGATACTGAGCAACTAACCTGATGAAGTTTCAGCTAAGCTTCAGCTGTACATTCCGAGAAAAACAGCATTCTAAGATCTCAATTTCAAATCAAAAGTTACTGAATCATGTTTTGAATTGTTTTGAATTGCAGCTATACGCGGCGTCGCGCACTGATCTGACGAATTATACCAACCGCACGCGCGTGTGCGTCGTTCCAATACTTGTGCGCGCTGCGCTGAATAACAAAACGAACTACTAATTTAAATTTTCCTACGGTGCTTCTTAAGAATCACCATTGGAAATGCCTTCTTTCGTTGATTACTTCAAAATGACAGCTTCCCAGAAAGAATAATTTCACAGGGAGTTTAGTCCCCTTACTATCTTTCAACCAAGTTTGTTTTTCAACAGTAATTACGCCAGTTACTTTTCGGATGGCTGCAAATGATGGACTATAGCTTTAAGGGCCCCGAAAAAATTGCATTCTAGATGCTCTGTGGTGTGATCTGAAGCAATTTCTTACCACTTTTCTCCATGCTTTAACTAATATTTTCGTAGCCAAAGATAATTATTTGAACATCGTTTTCGAGGTTGGAGTCATTGAATTGGCTACCAGAATTCTGAGCTACAGGCGTGGGGTTCGGGGCCTGCTTAAGGGCCCCGAAAAAATTTGGATTCTAAATGCTCTGTGGTGCTATCTGAGGCAATTTCTGACCACTTTAACCAATATTTTTTCAGCAAAAGATACATTGGGCCCTGTAAATGGGACATGAGTTCAAAAATCTGGGGGGGGGGGGACATTTGATATTGTGTCCCCCACCCTTCAAAAAGAGGGGGGGACATGTCCCCCCCCCCCCCCCCCCTGTGGAAGATAGTGCAGAAAATATCTGCTTAGGCACAGTAAATATTTACTTAGCAAAACCGATTACCATCTGAAATGCCTTGTAATGTGTATTGTTTGGTAAACATTTGCATTTGATATATGCTTAGCACATAAATTTGCTATGCAAAAGTTTCTTCTCCACAATTACAAAATTACAACACCATCTGCAAATGGTGCCCACTAAATTGGGTGTTGCCTGGCCGATTACATGAGCCAAAAATGGAGTAAAGTCCCTTGAGGTAAATTAATTTACAAAATTCAATCCAAAGTCAATTCCAAGCACTACGCTGTCTGCAACTAGAATTAGTCACAACAGAATCCTGGAACCAACACGGGAAGTATCAAGCGTTTTTGGCATAGAAAGCCCCAGCAGAGACACAGGGGACCGTCTGACTTGTCAACAAGAAGTAAGTGTACATCCTTAGTCGACTAAGGATGCATATTTACTTGCCTGAAACAATTTAGCACTGTCTATCTTAAAAGTGGCAAAACTGTGTTATGGCCAACGGGGACAGTTAAAAATATACCGGTTTAATTTTGAGGGAGCTGAGGAGCTTGTTGGACGAGAACAGCATACATTCAGAGTCCATTTTATAATACCTCACACATAGATTCTGTATCTTGATTGGCTGAGAGTGAGTCACATGGCATTCGCTATTTTTACTATCTAAAAATAAAAAGTAAGTAAAGTCTGTCCCGAGCCAATGTGGCTCATCAGGCCGGTGTTTATCTCCGGTTTCAGTAGCATGAAACAACTGAGAATATTTCTACTCCCCCTGGATGGGATGCTAGTCCATCGCAGGTTACTCCCCAGCTAATGCCGGTACCCATTTATACTCCTGGGTGGAGAGGGGCAAGTGGGGTGAAGTGCCTTGCCCAAGGACACAATATATGACCAGCGGCTGGATTCGAACCCCGGACCCTCTGATCACGAGTCACGAACCCTAACCACTAGGCCACACACTCCCCACACTGTCTACTCTTACGTAACTGTGCATGGCCAAAAAGACTGTACAATGGCTGCAAAGGTACTATGCGTGTAGCTAGCAAACGTAGCAACCAGTATGCATGTGTGCAGATGCATACAGGTTTGCATGTTGCGCGTATTGTTCCCAAGCACTAGCGCTACATAAGTGGGTTCAAACATCTCATGAAGGGGTAGTTTCGAAAAGTGCAAATAAAATTCCACCTCATTTGATATTGAACTAGAAGTAAATTTATTTTTTTGATCTAATTAAAGGGAATATACAACATTTGCTTTTGCTGCAATTTTCAGAAATAAATGGATTTTGAGGATTGGTATGTTATAGCAAGTATTGTTAAACTGAATTGTTTCACTTTTTGGGCTTGAAGATGCTGGAAAAACACAGAAAACCAATCATGTTCTTGTAGTCTGGCTCCCTGAACCGACTTAAGATGAAACAGAGCAATTTATAGTCTTTGGGGAATCGTAAGGTCAGAAAATCAGTCTAGCAGGCTTGTACTCCTTCACAGGTGTGTAATCAATTGCAAAGAAAATGTGGAATAACTAAATATGAAAAAATTAGGAGCAATTTTTGAAAAAGGACAGTTTTCTCCAACGCTGGTCGGCCGACCAGCGTTGGAAAAGTACACTTTTTCTTGAAAATGTCAGCAAACCAGGAGCCACGATTTTACAGGATGCTTTAGACTGCCATTCCCTAACAATCCAGTTAGGTATTTCGTGCTAATTTGATCATTTCGGTTTTTTTGATGTTTGCAAATGTTGTATCTTCCCTTTAAATCAATCATTTATCTCTTAAAACCAAGCAGAATCGGTGGGTGAGGTGTAATACAACAGATATTGACTGCTTGAATTTGTGTAGTAAAACTAGCCACCCTTGGTGAGCAATGAAGCTTTCCATTTCCATCAGACCAGAATGCTCCATGAATCATCTCGGGAGGCTAGTTTTACTGCACCACTCCAAGCAGTCAATTTTTGTATAATATCCAACCTCCAAAAATAATTCAGTGATATAGAGATACATTGATTCTTTCATACATGAAAATTAAATAATTGAGGTAATTGCGTGTCACAAATAAGAAAAAACAGATAACAAATATTAGAAATTGTAAAAATAAAAACAAAAAAAATATAAGACGGAACATCTGAAAACTAAAGGCGGACAATCAAGTAGCTGCCATTTAAAAAAAACAAAGGATGACCACTTGTTTGAAGAAAAATAAGTACTTTTGATAATAATCTGCACAAGAATGTCCTGAAAAACAAACTTGAGCCTAAAATGTATTAAAAAAACCCAATTTTCTCACACAGACATAAACAATAAATAAATCAAAAGTCAGATCAAAAATTCCTTAATACTGCATCAAAACTTCAGACTGATTTCTGAATTGGATTATAATTCGAGTTTCATAACAAAGACTAAGATGCAAGGGCGGATCCAGAACACAATTTTTTGGGGGCCCAAAAAAATTTTGGTCCCCCAAAAAAGTGGGTCAAAAAATTACGGCGTGGGGTTCTGGGCCCGCTTAAGGGCCCCGAAAATTTTTTGGATTCTAGATGCTCTGTGGTGCGATCTTGGGCAATTTCTGACCACTTTAACCAATGTTTTTTGAGGAAAAGATGGTGGTGTACTCATTGCCTGCCCTTACTGCGACGTCACATAATAAAAAAAAAAAAAAATTGGTTTCGTTTTTGGGGGGGGGGGGCCATGGCCCCCTTTGGCCCCCCCCTGGATCCACCCTTGCTAAGACGTGACCACAAGATCTTAAAGTTTGAGTGTTTATGATGCTCATGCCATTAAGAATTGATTGGGACTTACCTGAATCTTGTACACGTACACTCCTTAAAGGCTCATTTCTTTTCCAAAAATGTGTCTTAAGACGCCTTTTCCATTAGTAGTTCATGTTTAATTCTGCAAAGTCGTGAATGGGTGCGCTCAAGGGTTGATATGATGCACACGGGCGCTCGGTTGCTATAATTCATAGGCTTCAGTGCATGACATCGCGTAGCTGCTATCGGCTGAATGAGAACGTGTCCCAGACGCTGATTTGGGGCGGAATTCAAAACATTTGGCAACTCTTGACTCGACAACTTTTTAATTGAAATCGAGATCCTAGAATATTGTTTTCTCGGAATAAACAGCATTCACTGAGCTAAAAACTGAAGGTTACTTGTTCAGCGCCCTTCTTTAGATTTTGAGCACATTTGTTGCAAATGCACAAATGGCAAATGATATACTCTACCTTAAAACACTAATTGCCATCAAATAAAATTCCCGTGCATTGTTAAAAACTTATCTGTCTTTTTAATGCGTTATGATGCAAGCGGCCTATGAAACAGCTTGTATGTGTTGTTGTAGACCGACGGTAGTTCGTCGATGGCTATGTCGACCCGGTCGAAGCCCTTCCTGAGACCGCGCAGGACCAGCTTGCTCATTCGCAGTGTCAGCGGGGAGTGACCCTCCCGGGAAGCAGCGATGTCAGCGACTCTCATCCAGCGCGCGTCCTCGAGTTCGGCCGGGCAGATTTGGAGGTCAAAGGTCAGGGGCGCCAGACGGCAGACGACGTAGATGTCCGAGCAGCCAAACGCCCCCGGGTGGTTGTGTTGCTGACGGAACGCTAGGATGGATTTGAATTCTAAATAAAAGGCAAAAGCTACAGATTTACCAAATATTTTTAAAAGGAGGAATTAATGGCTCTAATTTACTTATAAATTAGTGAAGAACTGTTTTGAATACATTGTATGCTGCAAATGTGCAAACTGGGCCCGACAATCATAGGGAGAGTGATATGGCCCACTGGTTGAATGGTTCAATTCATGTGCCATGATACGTTGGCTCAAATCCCGATGAGCAACATAGTGCAGTCCTTTGGCAAGCCACTTTACAACAATTGCCTTTCTCCACCCGAGAGTGTGAATGGGTCTCATGGCTTGTTGAGCAGGGGTATTGTGAAGCGCTTTGAGAGCTACCTTTGGTGGAAAGCACACATTATTATTATTACTGCATGGAACACAACCACGGATTCAAAATGGCCTCTGACTTTTTTGAGCAAATTTTAGATATATAAAAAAAAGGTAAACACACATATTTGGGCTCCCAGCACAAGTACCCCCTCTATGGTAAGAAAGGGAGAGTTGGGAGAGACCACTGGGAGAGACACTATGGTTATATGTGCACACTCAGAATCAAATAAGTCGTGCATACTTCTCGCTATAAGCATGTGACCAGTACGCACACCCGGCGTTTCCTGTTCACAGGGTTCTCAAAAATAGTCGAAGAGCGCCCCCTCTTGTTTGCGCACAGAGCCCATAGGGCCAATTTGTTATCTAAAATCCTGTAATCACAGGTATGTTGCCAGTTGGGAACAAAATTTTCACAGATATTTGTCTTGCAGAGCCACTCTTTGAAATGACACTTATTCAGACTGCACAGGTCGCTGTTACAATATTTTGAGGATGCATAAATAGGATATCCCTATAACCGTAAATTTGCAGTAACAAAAATGGCTTAGAGCTTCATATGGCTGCTCATCAATGGAGGGCACTATTTTAACTTGCCCAACAAATATCTTACAAGACGGGAACAGACTTTCAACAAATTTTCAAGTTTCAAGACTTCAGTGTTACATTTTAACTGCTGCTTCTACGAAATGATACACATCATTGGAAGTGTGAATGTTACACCTGGACTATCTCTGTTTGATGGGACCCGGTTTTGCTAACGTGTTGATTTTAACCTGGGCAGGCAAGAAAACGGTGTGAAAAGGCTTAAAGATGGAAACAGAGAGCTGGAGTTGAAGCCAAGGTTTGGAAACCCCCTATCAAATAATTCTTTGGCCTGACCTGTCTGGAGTCCTGTCTCCTCCTTGACTTCTCTCATAGCTGTGTCTTGGATGTCCTCTCCTGGGTTTGACAGACCACCAGGAAACTTCCATCTTACCAACTGAAGAGGGAAGATAGACAAACAAACACTGATCATATTTTTGAATTTTTTTTAAAAAGGTGATAAAGAAGAGCTCTTGTAAAGATATCGTGTTTTAAAGACAGTACATAAGTTGCAAGAATTTGAAAAATTATACACAGAATAGAAATTATGTGATTAGGCAGTGCACATTTTATAAGTCATATTTTTAAGACATACACAAGGCAATGAAATGTTCACAACATTTTTATGCTAAAATTCTAGTTATTGTTGTTGTTGTTGTTGTTGTTGTTGTTGTTTTTGCTCACCCTGTGTTTATCTTGAATCATCAGGACCTCTTCTGTTTCTTCATTTAATACAAAACCTGCAGCAAAGTTCAAAGAAATATCTCACAACTCTCTTAAATCTAAAAGTTTAAATAAGAGAAGATTTACCTTTGCTCATGTGCATCAAAGTACAATGTTGCAACGATGGATTTTGGGGAATTTAAGATTTAGTGTGCATTGCGCGAAGTACTGTTAAAAACGTATTGCTCATTTCAAAACTGGGAGATAACATCCTGTGTATGGTAAGGCCCAAAAAAAAAAGTCTCCGGTTTCTGGTATGCGCGCGCGTCGCCGTAGCCATGCGCGTCAGCAAAATGAAAACAGTTTTTTTTTCAATAAAAGATGATGTCTAAAAACAGCCAAACTCACTGGTTTGACTGGAATCCTGATGCTGCACAATTTTAACGTGTTTTTAGATGGGGTTATGATCGAGAATAAGCTTTATGTGGCCTCTCCGGACTCCCATATATTTGCACTAAGTTTAGTCGGGCACCATTTGCAGTCATCAGCCGACATCTGAAGCAATAAAGACAGGTAAAAAAAAAAAAAAGCCGCGTCGCCGCACCACTTTTTGGGCAAGCTCCATACCAGAAACCGGAGACTTTTTTTTTTGGCCTAATGGTACCTAGGTCCTTTTCTGAATCTCTGAATAACAAAATGAATGCCCTTCTTGCAGTATATTTAATAGGTCATTTAGCTTGAGGCTGGATGACTTGTATTTGACATGTGATTGGCTCATGATCGACTCGTGATTGACTCTTGATTGACATGTGACTGGCTTGTGATTGACTCATGATTGGCTCGTGATTGACTGGTGATTGGCTCGTAATTGACTTGTGATTGTCTCTTGATTGAATCTTGATTGACATGTGACTGGCTTGTGATGGACTAATGATAAACTTGTGATGGACTTATGATAGATTTGTGATTAACTTATGATCGACTCATGATTGGCTCGTGATTAACTTGTGATTGACATGTGACTGGCTTGTGATTGACTTGTGATTGACTTGTGACTGACTTGTGATCGACTCATGATTGGCTCGTGATTAACTTGTGATTGACATGTGACTGGCTTGTCATTGACTTGTGAGTGACTTGTGATTGACTCGTGATTGAGTTGTGACCGACATTGTAACTGGCTTGTGACTGACATGTAACTGAAATAAGAATGACTTGCGAATGACTTGTGATTGACTTGTGATTGACTTGTGACTGAATTGTTAAATACCGGCTTGTGACTGGCTTGTGACTGTAATGTGACAGACTCATGATTGACGTGTGCTTGACTTGTGACTGACCTGCGCTTGACCTGTGATTGACTTGTGATTAAATTGTGATTGAATATGTGTAATATATTGTGTCTGCCGCCCTGCTAAAATTCAAGACTGCGGGGAACACTGTACATGTAAACTAAACTCTCAACATCTCACCTGCCACTCCGACCTGGTGCGAGGCGTAGCTGGGCAGGCGGCTCACATCCGTCCGTAACCACCGAGACATCACCACGTGGCCGTCCCGGGCATGATGCAGCTCAAACCCCTGCCTGGTGGCCAGAGGGATCAGGTGGCAGTGCTCCGTGGAGAGCTTCAACCAGACGGCTGTCCGACCCTCCACCTGCCACTGTGATAAAGACTCTGGTCAAATTGACGGGGAAAATAAGAATGAAAAGCTCAATTTTCAGGTGAAAGAGTACTGGATTTGAGAGCTGGCAGTTCAACAAATAATATCATTCAGGAAGCATTTTAACACGACTGGTACAAAAATAAGAATAACAAACATATCTGTCAGGCGTTCTGGCAAAATGAGAGAGAACTGGGTAGAGGTCCAAGAGAGGGTTTGTGGGTATCAGGAAAGAGACTTAAATTTTACTTACAGTACTGTTTGTTGCACTTCAATGGGCCTTATTCACGAGTTGGCCATTTTTGTCGAGTTCCCTGAACGTATGTCATTAAGTGTTAACTGTTCAATGGGATGGAGCCAGACTATTTCTGCAGGCACAATGCAGCCTTATTTTACTGTATTTTATTTAAACATAAGGGAATTTTTATTTACAAATTTTGAATTATTCATTGAAGCAGACTGGAATTAATTAGGAATTAACTTGCATTCATTTCTCTTTGCAAGTCCAAAAAATTTAGATTTTACCTCACTCTCAATTCAATATGGCCGACTCATGAATAAGGCCCATTGACCATTCGGTTGAAAAGCTATGGCTGTTTAAAGTTCACGTCAAAAAATATAAAATACATGTACTGAGAAAAATCTCTTTAAAGTTTCAGATTTTATATTTGTGAAAATGAAAGATGCCAATTTTTCTTCCGTTAAAACTCTTTTATTCACCATTCTGATACTTTTTCTTTCAAATATGTGTAGTGGACATACGTGTATCAAAAATTACAAATATTAAGAAATCTGAAAATCAAAAAAAAAAAATCCATTCGGTTTTGGCATTTGTCTCATTTTGCAAGAACGCCTCACATATTTGAAATAAAAAAGGTGCTTCTAGTTAGAAGGGTTCTGTATGAGAGCGCACTTGTTTTATTATGGACCCCATGCATGCAAGGCCAGATCCAGAACACAATTTTTTGAGGGGCCAAAAGTGTTTTCGTTCCCCAAAAAAGTGGGTCCAAAATTTGTCCGCCCCAACTTTAATACGAAGAGAAAGGGGGTGGGAGCAAATGTATTGCTTTTGTTGAGTTTTGTGGGTGCCCAAGTGATTTCAATTTGAAGCCCAAGACTAGACTGGTACATGTTCAACTTTTTCGAAAGACTGACCTCCTCAGTAGTCTGGTGGCAGACTATGGAGAGATGTGTAGAAATAGAGACCAGCACAAGATATTTCTTTTGGCACAGTTGATTGATGCAGCACTAAAGGTTTTTTTTTTTTTTTCATGTACCAGTCTATTTTCTTGTGTTGCACGTTTTCAGTACCTTAAAGGGAAAATACAACATTTGCAAACATCAAAAAATAAAACTACCAAATCATTTTGAAATACCTTGCTGGACTGTTAGTGAATGACAGTGTAAAGCATCCTGTAAAATCATGGCACCTGGTATACTGTCATTTTCAAGAAAAGTGGTATTTTTGTATCAATTTCCAACGCTGATCGGCCGATCAGCGTTGGAAAAAACTGGCTTTTTTTCAAATACTGGCCCCAGTTGACCATCGCACTTGTTTGCAATCGATTACACACCTATGGACGGGTACAAGCCAGCTAGACTGGTTCCCTAGGCCTGATCTTACAATTCCCCAATGTATGTAAACTGCTCTGTTTCTTCTTAAATGGAGTCAGGGAACCAGATTACAGGAAAATGATTGTTTTTCTTGGTTTTTATAGCATTTTCGAACCCAAAACCTCAAAAAAGTCAGTGTAACTATATTTGCTATATAATTCCAACCCCCCAATTCCATCCATTTCTGAAAATTACAGCAAAAGCAAATGATGTATATTCCCTTTAAGTAGTGAGACTCTCATACACAGTATTGAGAGTCCCAAATTTTCAGACTACCTCCCTACATACCTGATAAAGAATGACTAAACGCATCTGTGCCTACTGGTTCACAGTTCTTCAGACGATCGTCGTTGCCAACATCCACATGGATGCAGTTGAATCTGTCCTCTTTGGCGACATTCAGGAGGGAGGTGGTGGGAGACACACAGCAAAGTCTCCTTGAGACGCAGGATTTATGGCACTTAGCTGAACTTTTGAGGACGTTGGATAACTTGCTAGAGGCAACCGTTCGGAGGATGGATTGGCAGAACATGGTGATCACACTGTATAAATAAAAGAAAAACCCTTGTTATATTTGCATTACAGCACGAGTCAGCATCTTTATCTCAAACCTGAACAGCGTGTAGCACTGAATGTGTAGTTTATCAGCATCTTGTTATTCATTTTTTAATAAGTAGGCCTAATTATTAATTGATACACATATATATAAACAAACATGAAGCCAGCAAGTTCCTGGAAAGACAAAATTCAAATATAGGGGAAGCAATAATGATGGAGAAAAACTTCGTTTAAAAAAAATGGGGAGCACTGATCAAATCTTACAATCATGCACACTCATGGCCTAATAGTGTACAAGTGCCCCATTCACACAAATGGCTACGCCTCTGGCGGACACATACGTTTTATTATTAGCAATACAATTTTCAACAGTTTTCAAGGGGGGGGGGGGGGGGAGGGGGAAGGGGAGGGGAAAGGGGGGGGGGTTTGACACAAAAACCACCCCCTCTGCGCCTGGCCGGCTATATCGTATATTATTTTGGGGGGGGGAGGGGGGTAGACTGTTCGCATGCGACGTCACCTTCTAACATTCGCTAATGCAATTTCATTTTGAGGGGGGGGGGCCATTTGTGGGTTTTTTTTGGGGGGGGGGCTAAAGAACAGGGGTTTTTTTGGGGGGGGGGTGGGGTGGGTAAATCCCCCCCCCCCAGCAACCCCGTAGAATCGCGCCTGAGCCTCAGTGCAAATGTTCCCTCCTTTTATGCTGATTTTCATTTAGTTTGTCCTTTGAACTTCTTAATAGGGTGTTATTGTTTTTTAAATTATAGTTTTGTTTTGCTTAAAACTACAAAGGGTAATGATGTAGTAACATTCAACAAAGGGTCTGACACAAATATGAATGAATGTAGTCTGAATGAATAAATATACATGACCACAGAGGTCTCTAACTTCAGCCTTTGATGCATATTTATTCGTAAAAAAAAATAGCAAGTAAACCTATACATGTAAATATTAAACGTTAAAATGTTACTGATATTAGTACCGGTAATACAGTATTTTGCATCATTGATTAAACTTAAGAAATAATGACAATGATTGGCAACAATTAGAATACAGTGGTTGCGATTTGTGTAACTGGTGGGACCAATTTTTTGGCTGATTAAGATAAAATAAACAGCGATTAATTGTACTTGAAATTTATGTCAACTGTCTTAAATATTAAACATGTTTTCCAGATGGAGGGGAATAACCGTTGAAAACAATTTCTTCCCCTACAAATGAGCATACAGTAGTCTGCACTGAAATAGTACTCGTTTAAGATTTATATGAATATAATCTAAATTTCAAATCATTTGAAGTGTCAAAGGAGAACACGGAACATGTCATAAGCCTTCATAGTCAGTGTAAATCATCAAAGAAACCAAAACTGCTGTTAAACTGGAATATGAGAACATGGTACGATATATGAAAGGGAAGGTAACATTGGTCAATACCTCTAACATATACAACATTCCTCTCAGCACAGAGTTATTAACATAGTTAAACCATTGCCATGACGTCACACTATTGTTAAAAGTGTGGATTCGGATCTACGAATCTGTTTCACTGGTCACAAAGTGTGGATTCGGAACGACGAATCTTTAGTAAAGTGTGAATTACGAATCCACACTTTGAACACGTCGGACAATATTGTTCTCCAATACTGAGCATGAATAGGACCGTCTGCGTGAAAATTTGCTTTCCAAAAATTATAAATGCATCTTCACTGTCAGATTCTCCGCCGTCACTGCAAAATCTACTTTTAGTCAGAAGGAAATCGTCGTCTGAACTATCCATGTTGACGTAAGGAACCTATACACACAAAATGACTTGGTTCTACGGTAGTGGCGATATACATGCTAAACACGCCAGGAAAAAAATGTTGCAACCTGATGCCACTTCCGCGCTTGTATACAAAGTCTATGGAGAGTCATTTCAAGTATTTCCTAACAAAATTGGAAACATTTTGTCAGTCCCAGATTCATGTCTAATCATCATCTTTGCAACGAATGACCTTCATTGAGATGATATATGAAAAAAAAAGTGGCGTCAGGTTGCAACATTCTTTCCAATACTTCTGTTGACGCAATACACTCGCAAGTCGAAGAATACACTCGCAAGTGTGGATTCTTAATTTACGATTTTACTCGCGCTTCGCGCCTCGTAAATTCTTAAATTACGAATCCACACTTTCTCGTGTATTCTCCTTAACAGAATGGGCCTTTGAATAGCATCTTGGAGGACAACGCTAGGCATAAGCAGATCATCTGCACACACATAACAATTACAAAACAAAATTCTTCAAGGATGTCTTAATGCATATAGTCTATTTGATCAACAAGACAAAAAAGACAGTGAACATGTGAATTAACAAGAGGAATAAACTGTTTTACAAATTACACTACAAACTGAAAGTTTTCTTGGGCTTCACGTCAGTGCTTTAAAAATAAATCCACCAGCATTGTTACAAAGTAATACACAGACTATTTCCCATCCCCTTGCTGGAACTGCAACTGGAAAGCACCCGCTACGAAGTTAACCGTTTACACTTCAACCGTTGGTTGTGTACGTCTCTAACAATGTAAGTGGGTGAACAACAACTCCTATATATAAGGGGGTGGGAAGCAGAGTGGTGATTCAAATTTTCTTTTAGTGACAATCTCATTCCATATTTAGATCATACGTCGGTGAAGGGCAAAACCTAATTTGAATTACATCACCCCGACGCAAATTCGATCTTATGAATACTTTAATTGCTGTACCCGCTGCTACATGTACATCAGATTCAACCAGCCAACCGATCCCACAAGCTCGATGGTCCAGTTGTAAGACATCTGCACTAAAAAGCAGGAGGTCGCAGTTTCGAGTCCCACCGAGTGATATTTTTCCAACTTTCACTCGAGAAGTAACACACTGAGTGTACAGTGTTTATTGGTCGGTGAAGGGCAAAAACTAATATTGATTTACATCACCCCAACACAAATTCCATCTTATGAATATTTAGATCACATACGAGATGCTCAATTTTTGCATTAGTTAATAATTCTCAATATCCGAGTCATCACTTTCGGGTGAAATGTGCTGATCTTCGCTTGGAATATTTTCACAGTATGTGCACTTGCACAAGTCTGTGCAGGGCAGGTTGTTGCCAAGACAGCTACACCTGCCTTTTGTGCACTGGCTTATTGTACATGAGCAATAGGCTAATGCTAGCACGTTATCAGGGGCAGGGGGAAGATCCATCCAGTGGATTGTGATAACATCGTCGATGATGTTCCATCCTCTTCCATGTGGAGATGGCACTTCGGGACGTGCCTCCAGGGCCCGCTTGTATATGGCTGCCTGGTAGTTAGCCCTCTTTACATGCAGGTGCAAGGCATCCTTGTTTGGCGGCATCAACGTCTCCATCACAGTTCCCAGCTGGAACAGGTTGTATCTGCAAGTGGACAAATTTTGAGAAAAATCCGTTTACTTTTTTGACAGCAATTTTCAATTGCAAGTTGCATTTCTTTAATATGCAATATAACCAAGTTAGGCCAAAAAAAGTCTTCGGTTTCTGGTATGGAACTTGTCCCAAAAGTGGTGCGGCGACGCGGCTTTTTTCTTTTTTTGTAAAGTTGTTTTTTCTTCAAAGGTCGGCTGATGACTGCAAATGGTGCCCGACTAAATTTAGTGCAAAATGTATGGGAGCCCAGAGAAGCCACATAAAAGCTCATACTCGATCGTAAGCCCATCTATTAAAAAAACACCATAAAATTGTGCAGCAGCAGGATTCCAGTCAAACCTGTAAGTTTGGCAGTTTTGAGACATCATATTACATTAAAAAATAAAACTGTTTAACTTTGCCAATGCGCATGGCTACGGCTACGCGCGTGCAGACCAGAAACTGGAGCCTTTTTTCTTGCCTTAACTGACCATAAATTAGTTTTCAATTAGTTTAGTTTGGGGATTTCGGTTAAATTTGAAGGAAACCCGAGTTATTATCTTTTGGATTGATTTACTGAGCAATTTATTTGTCTGTAACTTGAATTCACAAAGCAATACTGTCCTCCATTTGAAGAGAAACAAAATACGAATCGAAAGCACTTTTTCATCCACACACTACGCTGAAGTTAACTAATGATGTGCAAACCTGACCCGAAACCAAAACCAACCCGACCCAAAACCGACTTCGGGTCGGGTCGGGTCAGTTTTGGGTCAGGTTGGTTTTGGTTTCGGGTCAGGTTTGCACATCATTAGTTCAGCGTAGTGTGTGGATGAAAAAGTGCTTTCGATTCAGATTTTGTTTTACTTCAAATGGAGGACAGTATTCCGTTGCGAATTTAAGTTACAGACAAATGAATTGCTCAACAAATAATGAATGAATTGTCCATCTTTTCAGTCGGGTCGGGTCGGTGTCGGTTTTGCATTTACATTTTTGGGTCGGGTCGGATCGGTTTAGCCATCTTTAGAAACAAACGAAATAAACTTAAATAATCCAAAACAGTTGAGAAATTCAGGTGATGCAATATTATTGACAGTCACTGTGAAAACAGCCCATTGTGTGGTGTGGGCACTGAGCGCTTATCAAGTTCCCACGGTATTAATTTCTCCAGTCGGATCGGGACTGACAGTGAAATAGATAGATTGCAACAGTTTTCATGATACCGCATGGTGACCATGCGTTTGTTGAACAAGCGGAGTAACTCTCGATCAACCCACTGAGTATGACAGAGAGAGAGAGACGATGGTTTTTGCACAATAATTCATGCCACGTGGGTAAGGGCAGGCACAAAAAAGTGATCACTTTGTCCAAGCAAGGTATTTGTTTTTTTGGGTTTTTTTGGGGGGTCGGGTCGGTTTTACCTTATTTTTTGTCGGGTCAGGTCGGGTCGGTTTGAGGGAGTTAAGAACGGTTTCGGTTCGGATTCGGTTTATATCTCTAATGTTTCGGGTCGGTTTGGCCTGGTCGACCCGACCCGATGCACATCATTACGCTGAACTGAAATGCAACATTTGGTTACAGTCACTCAACAAGCAGGTGTATTGCTTTCTGTGGTTGAATGTGACATGAATTCACAAGCTACTCATGCACGTTGAACACTTACCTAGCAATGTTCACATTGGTGCAATCAAGCTGTCCGTACAGGTGGCAGATAAACTCTTCAGCTCCCGAGATGACATCGGCCGTCACAGTGAAGTCGTCACCAATTGCTCGGAAGACAGGGTACGCGTTGACCTCCTTTAAAGGTAATATACATTTTCAAATATTAAAAAAAAAATTGAAAAATTGAAAAACCGTACTTGACTGTAAGTGAATAATAGTGTCAAGCATTCTGTGAAATCATGGTACCGATGAACCATCGTTGGAAAATAAAACTTGACTGTTTTCAAATACTGCCCTCAATTTACCAAATTTAGTTAGTCCTCATTTAGTTTGCAGTCAGTTACACATCTGTGAACAGGTGCAAGCCAGCTAGTCTGGTTCCCTGACCTGACAATTTCCTAATGTCTATAACTTATTTCGTTTCATCTGAAGTAGGTTCAGGGAACCAGTGGATGCATACAAAAACAGTTTTGTCTTGGTTTTTCCAACATCTATGAACACTTTAAACAGGTCACGTATTACAATATTGGTATAAAATACTAACCCCCAAAATCCATTCATTTCTGAAAATTAATGCAAAAGTTAATGTTGTATGTTACCTTGAATGCCAATTTGGCAGGCGTTGTCTTTCCTTTCCCCCGGAACCCACTTGTGGAGTCACAACCGGTCAAACAATGCAGACCGATCAGCATTTTCGTTCTCTCTGCTCCGAGAACGCGGCTCACTTGTGAGATGTTTACTGTGCGCAAATTCTTTCCCCTGCCGGTGTGAAATAGCAAAGGTGACTCTATAGAGCTGCTGTGATGCAGAGCCAAAATGAAAACATCAGCGTCGGGACTTTTGATGATGATGTTCTTCTTGGGACTGTTGGGTGAGGCCTGAGAGGAGATGAAAGCACAGTGGAGAAGCATCCGGGTGTCTACCTCCTCATGTCGACACTCCAGTTCTGGCACAGTTTCACTCTTGACCTCGCCATTGACATTATACAACACATGGCATTCTTCTCCATGAGCTAAGTAGACCTTCACATCCTTCAAGATGGCCGACGATACTTCCTTCCATATTTGGAACATGAAGTTCACGAAATTGTCTTTGTTGCGACCGAGTCCGAGGAATTTCTTCCACTGAACAGGTACTGGTTTGTGTCTGACATCGGAAATTTTGTTACTCCATGTTCTGCTCCCAGCTCTGGGGTTTCTCTTGGCATTCCTGATGCTAGTTGACAGATACTGGCCGGTAACAAAATGAATTTCTTTCGAACCAATTTGCGATGCCAGACTAACCAGCTTCACCAACAGGCTTTCTGCCAGCAAACCCCACGTCTTGGGGCGTTCACAGGGCCGAAGTGTTTGCAGCATTGCCGTGCCATCCACTACCCAGATGGATTCCAATGGAATTGGGCTTACCGGTGCAACCCCAGCCAGTTCCTCAACATAATGCATCAGGTCAGACTTGGAGTTCTGGTACAGATGGCCACTCTCTGTGGCTATAGGCAGAGGTACGGGCCCAAGACTGAAAGACAACACCTCTCTCATATCGGCTTTCCTTACTTGGCTTGTTACTAGCAGACGGGTAAAGAGATCACGGTTCGCCTTCAATACCACTTGTTTGTCATTGACTCCCAGGGACACTTCTTTACCCTGATTTGAGAATGTAAGCAGCTTGTTCTTCTTCAGTGGGAAAAAGAACCCCACTTGGCCACCCTGCAACCGCTCCTTGATGAACTGTACACATTGTTCCTCTCCAAGGCGCTTGGCTTTCAACAAGTCATCTCTCACTTCATCGCTTGCCGCAACACCAGATGAAATATGAATCATGTCCATTCCCTCACATTCAAAAGGATTCACCATGTTTGAGACGGTCTCTATGACCCGCTGTGTAGCCTTCTCGTCTTGTTGATTGCGAGAGACATCTAGATCCTTGCGCGATCTTCCTCCACCACGTATTTGGCCAGCCATCTCCTGACATTTGTGAGTTATACCCGAACACTGATGCTGTGTCAAGTGCCATCGCTGTTCTGCCCCCGTCTTTCTGGAGATCCCAGTCAGTCCTCCTTTGGACTTGGAGTCCCTGTTGCAAGTCTCCTCTATTAGTTGATCGCAGGGAATCTGAGAGAAGGCACCCTCATCTTGCATCTGGACTGCAAAGTGTCCCATCATCATTTCACAGTGAAGGTCGGGATGTGTCGTCTCCAGAGAACACATTTCGAGCCAGTACGCAGCCCCGTACCTGGAGAAGTTCACTCTGTCGTAAGCAAAAAACCAAGGGAGCATACTTCTCAGGCTGGAAAGATGCAGCTGCCAGTCGCCTTCTCTGCTGGCTCTTATCAGCATCAACAACACTTGCACCATAGACGTATAGGACATCCAGAAGGCAAACGTCTTGTTGACTCTGCAGGCCGCTTCAATATAATTCTTGTACGACTCTTCGAGTCGCATTAACTCATCATTCTCTTCGCTTCTCAACCGATTGGCGAAACCTGAACCAAGGCTGACATAAGACTGCCGCATTCCGTGAAGAAGTTGATGTACCGACTCTTGCTCCTCATCTTGCAGGGTGCCAAGGTAAGCATCAAACATCAGCCGATGCAGGGCTTCACACACTATCTTATGAGCTCTCATTGCCCTGTTGTAATCGTGACCACCCATAACTCCATCTATGGCACCCTCTGCAATCAAACCTGACTCAACCATAACATCCCGTAAACTGCCATCTCCAAATCTTGTACCAAGGCAACCCAGAAAGGACAGGCAGGTGTGGAATACACCCAGTCGGACAACCAACCTCTTGGTGAAGATTTCGTCTTGCCATTTGATCTGCTGGGCCATTGCATACATCGCCTGATCGAACACTAGGACAACTTCACTCAAGTTTAGCTTGTCTGCGTACTCTAAACTTCTGAGGAGTATTGCATACACCGTTTCATGGTCAGTAGGGCTTGCCTCGACCACAGGCAGATACCGGACCAATGCCTTGGGAGGATGCATGGCACCTTGAAGTACAGTGTTGAATCCTGTCCACCCGGGGATAGTCTGGCCTTCGTTGCTGCACCGTAACATGAAGTAGATCTGATCCAATCTGCTTGCATGTTTCTGATCCTCGATGAATTCACGCTCCTCAACTTGAATTCCTGTGGCGAATGGATGTGGACCCTGTTGCTTTCTACCGAAATAAGACGTACAGTGTGACGGCGCTGTCTGGGTTGTCTGTTCTCTGGTTTTGGTCTGTGGTTCATGAGTACCGGATGAAAACGGGTGATGGGATGACAAATAAATGCCAGGTTGAACGATGATTCCAGAGGTGCTATGGGCACCCTCTGCAATCACACCTGATTCAATCATCTCATCTCTCAAACCGCCAAATTCTCCAAATCCTGTACCAAGGCAGCCCAGAAAGGGTAGGCCTACACCCTTCCCAGACAGGGTTTCCCCTCCAAAATCAATGTTATCCCACACCAAGGTAGTAAACGCCCCTACTCTGACATCATCTGGAATGGGATTGTCACCCAATATCAACTGCCTCTTGGCCAAAGCTGTGTCATGCTCCAGCACAGATGTCACGGATGTGCAGTGGCCTAGCCCATTTAACAAGCGAACAAGCTGTGCAGAGCTTGACAGGTGTCGAACGGCCATTGACAATGCAGTGTGCTTCGGTGTGGCCAACTTCCCTCTACTCGACAAGTACAGCACATCCTGGCATACTGACAGCAGCTTTCGGTGGTCTTGCTGCCCTACCTCGACCCGGGAAGTTGCTTCAGGTTCGTCAGAGAAGCCTGTCATCCATGCCATGGCATTGTACAGCTGGTGGGGGACCAGCTGTTCACAGTGACGCAAGGTCAAGTCATCTGCAGTTGGTGGCCAAGGTAATTCGACGGATGGAGGTTCCTTGATGATTTTATGCAGCTCTGAAGATGCAGTGAACAAGGTGTGCGGATTCGCTTGCTGGTGACCAGACACCTTGTGATTGCTTGATGGCCCTGGTCTTGCCTCAACAAATCTGGAGTAGGCCTCCCCAAACGAAGTCTCAGACAAGGTGTCTGTCTCTGAGCCAAGTGCAGCCTCAACCGATTCTTCTCTGGCAAGTGTTTCACAGTAGACTAGGTCTCCCATGCCTCTCGCAGTGCTGGGTTGAAACACAAGCTGGGGAAAGGTGCTCTTCAGTCTCATCTTGAGATTGTCTGCCAGGTAGTTTTGGCAATCCACTCCTTCCAGGTCCCTCACGTACTTGACAAATATCCGTCGCAGTGTGGTGAGGCACAGAACTTCCTTATCCCGAATCAGCCGTTTTCTGATGACATCTGAACAGAACTCGTCATACGCATCGCTGTATCTCTGAGACATCGCATCGGGTGGGTCGGGGGCTGGATGGACCAAGAACCTTGTGTACTCTTGGTAGCACAGGCGATGGTAGCACACCTCAATCGCAAGAAGGTCCTTTCCCTCGATCTGTGAGAGCAACCCTTGATCTTCTTTTTTCCTCGCCGCTTCCAGAAGCTTCCCTGCAGTGAGCGTCTGGCATTGGGAGAGTTTGTCAAGCACGGTTTTCTTGGTCCTCTTGTCCAAACCCCACCTCTGTTTTTTGTTGCAGATGATGCATATACGCGGCAGTGTGCAAACTTTCCTCCTTGTGGGCTCATCGCTGCATTCTCCTCCGTCTCTTTCCTCCGTGTCTGAATCTGAGAACATGGGGGGAAAAAAGTGGGGATGTTTAATTATACGGAGTGCCTGATAAATTGAAATCTGGGGAGATATTAACCCTAACTCCCTAGCATGATTTGCAAGGAACCATACCCATCCTGGCAAATCCCAACTCCATATGGGAAACTGCACACACATGTATTTCTGACCTTGATTCCGGAGGTGGGCCAAACCCAATGCAAAAGACTGTCAGTTTAGGGGTATTGTACCCATCCTGACAGATTCCAACAAAACATGCTGTTGGGGTTGGATGGGTTGAGTTCTGTTAGGGCAAATGGGGAACACTATACATAAAAGAGAAAGCAAACTTTTTTGACAGATATGCTGCACGCCACTCTTAGACATGGCACCCCGGCTTCGCCTCAGGTGCTATGCGCCCCTCGGGTGTTCAAAACGTCATATCCAACATCACAGCAGTCAACAATTGTTAAATATACTCCATAAATAAAACAGCCATGACTCGACAGAAAAAAAGGAAAAGGTACCTTGACTTTCATGTTGTCGTTTCTGGGCGCGTCTCTCCGCACGGCCTACATTGGATACATCGCAGAAACGTTTATAGCACTGCTGATGGTATCCAAATGCCTGTAAGTGTAATTAAGAAAAAAAGTTCAGAAGCATCGCACATTAATCTCATTTCAAATATTTCACAATGCAAACTACAATGTATTATATAACACCCGAGTAAATCCTTGTCATTTGATTGGAGTATTGTAGGTCAAAGATGAAATGTTTAATCCAACTCAGCTTCGCCGGGTAGTATGGAACATTCTGTCTTTAAACTTATGAAAATATTCTCACCATTGCACTCACAAACATTCATTATTTGTATACTATTCTTGGCATTGTTCAATAAAGGGAAATTAAAAAAAAAAAAAATTGGAAGAAAATAAAAATACTGAGGCAAGGACATAAAATACTGAAATATGCATGAGGACGCTATATGAGCTGCTGGCTTAAGAACGGAGAAATGTTGGACTAGTTCATGGCTACTTTACACTGGAAACACTTCGTAACATAAATTATTACTGAGCAAATTGCGGCTTGAGTTGAATGGCACACCTTGGAGTATGACTAGCACATCTGCTGACCCAAGTTCAGTGCGATTGTGTAGTTACTGGCAAGGTGTCCTGAACTGCACAATACCCCTCAAGCCGCCAACTAGTTTAAGTTAAAGTGGATTTTGTTCTCTTAAGTTTAAGGGAACCGGGCCCGTTAAGTACACAATCGCCAAGTTCAGGACCAGAAGCAGATATTCGTATTCAATATTAATTTTTTCCCAAAAGTAAGAGTTTCTTCCTTTACTTCAAATCCTACAATTAGTTGAGGAAAAATTTACTTCATGTTTATGACCAGTGGCTCTTGATAACCTCGTATGTCAACAATGCCATGTTTAGTACAACAAAAATAACACATCCTAAGGAAAACAAATTCTGAAATATTCCTATACCTATTTTAAAAGGCAACCTTATTAGGTTCAACCCGAAGACAAGAATAATTTACATGAACGAACGTTAGGCATATGCCTACCTTTGACAATGATTCTGGTACATCTCCGTCCACGTGCATGCCGATGTACAACTCCGCTTTTTCGACAATTTCTGCTTCTGCCGATTGCTCCACCTTCTTCCACCTACTAGCACAAGCGAGGAATTTTTTCCAGCTTTTTTCAGAGAAAGACAAAACCCTCGATTCTGCGTCCGAAACATGCATAATACACTGCTTTTCATCCGAACTGCCGTCGTCGGAGGAGCTTGTGGCGTCCGCCATCTTGCTGTCTAGAGGTGCCTACGCTTGCTCTTGCTTACGCCGCCCGCTATTGGTCCGTTCACCACAAACGTGTCGCATTGATTGGTCGTTGGGAAAATAATGACGTAATTCTTCACTCGGAATTTGTCAGCGTCGAAACGGAGAAAATCTGAAATTAAAGGGAATATACAACATTTGCTTTTGCTGTAATTTTCAGAAATGGATGGATTTGGCGGTTAGTATTTTATCCCAAATATTGTTCCTGACTTGTTTGAAGTTTTGTGTTCACAGATGCTGGAAAAACCAAGAAAAACAATCATGTTCCCTCACTTGACATGAAACAGAGCAATTTATAGACTTAGGTAAATTGTAAGGTCAGGGAACTAGTCTAGCTGGCTTGTACCCGTTCATAGGTGTGTAATCGATTGCAAACAAAATGCAGACTAACTAAATAAAAAATGGGGGCAGTATTTGAAAAAAAGTCAGTTTTCCAACGCTGGTCGGCCGACCAGCATTGGAAATAGCCACTTTTCTTGAAAATGACAGCACACCAGGTGCTATGAGTTTACAGGATGCATTACACTATCATTCACTAACAGTCCAGTAAGGAATTTCAATATAATTTGGTGTTGTTTGTTTTTCTGATGTTTGCAAATGTTGTATATTCCCTTTAAATGGTAATTTAAGCAAAGACTGGTTTACCAATAAACTGTGGGTTATATTTGTGAGTGCAGTGATTGCCTTGTCATGAAACAGTCGTTGGTGCATCCCCCGATCTGCACGCGGAGTTTGTTTATCAACGCAGGTCACGGTCATGTCCCCTGCGCTTTGCGTACGTGTTTGTACATACGTCCATAGACAATACGCTGCATAAACACAGTCACTCACATTATCGAATGAATCGCTGTGTGATGTCTGTGCTACAGCGGTTGAATTTCACAGATTTGCAGCCAACAAATAATCTGGAGTATCATTGAAGCTCCATTAGGCCAAAAAAAAAAATAAGTCGGTCTCTGGTCAGCGCGCGCGTCGATTTTAATCATGCGCGTCGATCTTTTTTTTTTCCAAAATGTTCCGCGGTAGCTCCAACAGCGCCCTCTATTTCCGCACCTCCTCAATTTTTTTTTACCAAAGAGCACCAAAGAATGGGAAATTGCACCAAGGCAAATGATCGAAAGCACCAAGGCAAATTATGGAGGACACCAATGTACATGAGGACACCAAAAAAGCAAAATAGTATCCCACCTTGTCTGTACAATCCAAGCTTGAAGAAAAAAAAAAAAAGCAAAAAAAAAAAAAAAGCTGCGTGGCCGCGTCAATTCCGGAACTTTGGTCTGACCAGAGACCGCAAATTTTTTTTTTTTTTGGCCTTACTTCATCTTTGACATGTGGCCGTGGAGAAGCCAGTACGTGCTTTCAAAGGTATTTTGTCAAGTATTTTGCGTGATTTTTGGCAACTGTTGTGGCAAAATTTGAAAATTCTAACTTTGAGATTGCTTCCGTCGTGAGGCGCTAGTAAGACAGACCAAAATCCCAAATGTCAAAAGGGGAGTTCTAGCGCCCCAGTTAGTGGGTCTACATGCATGTAGTCGCCAACTAGTTTGGTAGGTCAAATAATTTAAAAGTGGATTTTGTTCCCTTTTACTAGGAACCGAGGAAAGATTTCCGTAAATAATAACAGGTTCTTATATAGCGCTTTTAACTAAGATCAAAGCACTTTACATTATTATTACCCCTAATCATTGGGCCAATTAAACATTCCAACTTTTTTCAAGCTCCAAAAGTTGTATCCTTTATGGTTACATCCTCCACTTTACCCTCTCTACTCACACCCTCTCCTTTCCTTTATTCCTACATGTATTTCATCGAGATTCAAATCTTGGACTCTTGCTTGAAAGACAACACTTTTACCGCTAGACCAAGCGAACGATCGCTTTACAACATGTACAATGATCAATCTTTTGATGTATATGAAGTATCCATTAAAATGAACTCAATATTCATGAGAAATTAAATATTCATAATGACGTATTGCACTATCATTGGCTGGCTCATGCGTTGTCATGGTTGTCAATGTCATGCGTATAACGTACCGCTGTCTTCCAGACACTTCCATCAATTTGACCGGCTGCCTCCAACTTAATTCTGCAAGGCACGTGCATCAAAAATTTGCAATTGCCGAGATGGGGTGAAGTCGAGATGGGATGAAGTGGGGATGGGGCGAAGTGGGATAGGGCGAAGTGGCAAGGGGGCGATGTGGTTCCGGTTAGGGGCGAAGTGGCGGTCGTGTAGTGTAGGGCCCGGTTCCTAAAGGGAACAAAATCCACTTTGAAATTATTAGATCACCAAACTAGTTGGCAACATTCTCAATCCTATGTCATAATAGATAGCAGGCAGGGTTTTGGTTTTTTGAGGGAAATTTGGGGGTAAAATGACGATGACAGCGCAGCGACAACACGCAACCCGAAAATAAAGATGGCGTTCACCGCGCGATGTACCGTGAGCATGCACAGCGCGCTGAATCGCAAGGCACAAACCGCAGGAGAATTGCGATTTCTACCCCAAGTAAGCAAGAGAAACTGTTCAAATTGCAAAATGGGTGTCATTAGTGATTAGAATTGAGAAAAGTCTGCTTTTGATTGTAAAGGTGATTTTTGAGCAATAAAAAACATTTTGACTCCAATTTGATCAAAACAAAACAGGGGCCCTATACTACACGATCGCTGGCGAAGTGACTTGGGGCGAAGTGGAAATGGGGCGAAGTGACTGTATTAAAACATGGTGAACTTAAATTGTAATCATGCCTGTAAAGCATTTACCACAACTCCACGAGACGAATGTTGAAGCAAGCGGTTGAAACGTATTCCCTCCACCCTCACACACCCGTCCCTCTGTTTGCTAGCACAGATTGGACGTCGCCTTTATAGCATTACGACTTAAAACAGTCTGCAAAGTACCCGAGTTCCGATGGCCGTTCCGATAATGTCAACTCAGTTCATTCATGGGCGCTGCCATGTTTGCGAGATTTCACGGTGATTAACTTGCAATCTCGCGATTTTGTGCGAGATGTTGGTTAATTGGCACTGGTACTTGGCGGCGTCAACCAGCGACCACGGCTGCAATTGCATGCGCATGCATAGTCAATACACAAACTAAACATGAATCAGTGTCAGTGGGCAAAAAAAGTCAACATGTAAGGAATCGAGAAATTGTTCCTCGAAAAATAATCCAAAACAATAAAACTTACAACCTTTCATACCGGCAACACATGCATTTATTTATTGTTATTGCAATTTGAAGATATGGACCCGGTGCCTTCCTATGAAGAGGTGAGTTAAGAGATTTTTTACAGGTTTAGAAAACACTGCGAGTTTTTTGTACTGAAATTAAAACTGGAACTTCCGGAAGTGAATTTATCTACTATCAGTTTATCTATTATCCAAGCTACATTTCATCATTTGCAGCTATCCAAAAAGCAACTCACAAAATTATTGTTGGAAAGCGTTGCAAGCGTTAGGCCTACCTGCGCAGATTATGGATGGTCGAGGATATTCTTTTAGCCTATGGCTATCTACTCTAGACTAGTCTAATTTAATTAGATTGTTGATGTTTTTATTGTTATTTTTTAAATGTTAATGATAGGCCCCCCCCCTATATATATTTTGTTTTGTTTTAATAAGGTGTTTCACGAAAATATGGGCCATGTTGCCTGCGGGGCAATTTTACAGGCGTTGCCGTGTACGCGTGTTCTTTCTGCCCCATGAACAAGATGGCGCATAGGGCCTATTTATTACGGTGAAACACCTTATTAGAATTATCTTACTGTTTTGATATTTATGTAAAGGAACCAGGGCCTTTATGGACAGCAGTTTTCTAACTGATAAGGCCACCCCGTATAAATATGACAGCAAATAAACCAAATAAATAAAGCATTTGGTTTAAAGATAGTAATGATGGGACGAAACTCCCTGTGAAATTATTCTTTCTGGCAAGCTGTTGTTTTGAAGAAATCAATGAAAGAAGGGCTTTAAGATAAGCCTGAAGATTAAAACTTAAGCAATTGCATTGCAACTCGCACGTCTGAGCGGCAAGACGCCACAGCTTTGGGGTCATCACTTCTTTCGTTCAAAATAGCTGCCATCCACAGACGTTTTATGTGTGCATATGGACTCCAGAAAGATCCCTTAATTTCTCAAAAAATTTGGTATAACGTAAGGGCATCTAATTAACCCGGAGAAAAAAACTGAGACATCATAGAATACAACAATCTGTAAACAATTTGCAATTTTTTTCGGACAAACTAGTTTGGAGAACCAGATGTTTTGCCACAGTGCAGCAGGCCACACTAGTGGGGCTAGGAAATACTTTTAGGAGATCTGTCAATTTTCGATTGAATGATTAACCCCGATCGCCCTGAATCCTTCAAAATACTCTTTGCCAAAGTGGAGGAATTTGGAGGATTGAGGTTACATGGCAAAAGTGCGTCACTGATTTCGTTGGATGCATTTTGTCAAGGTCTTGCGCCGGACCTTGTGTTGTTTTGCTCAGCCATGCGTAAATAGGCGTGGATTATGCTTGAAATCCTCCGTACTGCTTCAGGATGTCACTGGCCAAGCCTCAACATATTGACAGTCACTGCCGCAGGATTTTCAAGGATTCAGGCAGTGGTCACCCCTCCATGAACCATATTCAAGAAATAATGGAGAAATTTGCAGGATTGAGGCTATAGGCCTATGCTATTTTTTCCATGAGGCCAATTGGAGGATTTTGCAGGATTGAGGCTACATCCTCGCAAAAAGGCGTAGGGAGTTAGGCTTAAGTTTACATTTGTTTCATCCAACAATTCCGAAGGAATGTTGCATCTTGATCCCACTTTTTTTCATCATCTGTAGACCTATATCATCTCGATGACAGTCAGTCATTGCAAAAATGTGGGGGGGGGGGGGCGGAGTGGAAAAACATTTGCGATTTTGTTAGGAAATACTTTGAAAATGCTCTTGACTCTCCGTACACAACGGCTGAAGTGGCGACTGGATACTACATTCTTTCCCACAATCCTAGCTACTGAAGTGCTTCAATCAATGTCTGAATTTAAGACTGGGAAAGAATGTAGTATCCAGAAGCCACTCTCTTTTCAACATTTTTGCAATGACTGACCTTTTATATTGAAATGATGTGGGAAAAAGTGGCGTCAGGTTGCAACATTCTTTTCAAACCTCTAGATGGATTTGCAATGGCACATTAATGTTGTAATTTGTAATCGGGTAACTAATATAGCCGCTGAAATCAAGTCACTGCTTCTGTTAAACTGTGACTGTATATCTATTAATCCTAACTCCCAAGCATAATTTACTAGGAACCGTACCCATTCTGGCAAATTCCAACACCCACGTAGGAAATCATACACACACACTGTTGGACTTAGTTTCTGGAGGTATGCCAAACCCAGTGTAAAAGACCATCAGTTTAGGGGTACTGTACCCATCCCAACAGATTTCAACAACACCTGCTGTTGGGCTTTGATGGGTCGAGTTCGGTTAGGGTTAAAGGGCACCCCCCAAAAAAAGGACTGGCATCGAAATAGTAACGTCAAGTACCGGTAACAGGTAGTGTCTTGTTCTCAAGATGATTGTGGGTTAACTGTTATTTCCGTTTATTTGTCCTAGGCTTGTAAGGATGGAGAGCAGCGCATCCAACATGTGACCCTAGCGTTGGTGGTACCGCCCCCCTCACCGGCCGACACTCAGCCTGGTACCCCAACTCACAAAGGTATGTGTTCTGGGGATACAAAGTGGTACCAGTCCAACAGAATGTGAAGTAATGTTGTGCAAACCCGAAACCGAAACCAACCCGACCCCGGCGACCCGAAACCGACTTTGGGTCGGGTCGGATAGGTTTGTCCATCTTTTCAGTCTGGTCGGGTCGGTTTCGGTTTTGCATTTACATTTTGGGGTCGGTTTGTGTCGGTTGAGCCATCTTTTTAAAAAAAAACGAAATAAACCAAAAACAAAACCAAAACAGTTAAGAAATTCAGGTGATGCAATATTATTGACAGTCACTGTGACCGCAGCCCATTGTGTGGTGTGGCCACCGAGCACACTGTCAAGTTCCCACGGTATTAATTTCTCCAGTTGTAACAGTTTTCATGATACCGCGTGGTGATACCATGCATTTTTTCACTAAGCGGAGTTACTCTCGATCAACCCACTGAGTATGAGAGATAGAGACGTTGATTTTGCAAAAGAATTAATGCCAAGTGGGTAAGGGCAGGCACAAAAAAAGTGATAACTTTGTCCATGCCAGATATTTTTTTGGGGGGGGGGTTGAGTCGGGTCGGTTCGGGTCGGGTTTACCTTATTTCTTGACGGGTTGGGTCGGGAAGGTTTCGGGGGAGTTAAGATCGGTTTCGGTTCAGATACGGTTTATATCTCTAATGTTTTGTGTCGGTTTGGCCTCGTCAACCCGACCCGATGCACATCATTAATGTGAAGCTGTGTTATCTTAAGTACTTGGCTACAGCCAAAAAATGTTGTTTCGTCATCAGCTTTGGCTTTGCCTCCAACTTCTGAATCACTGAGAGACAAACCAAACAAAAATAATCAAACTTTTGGCTTCATATCAGCCAATTAAATGGGCCAAATACATAAAAACTAGTATTTCTTATAAGCAGAAGCACCAAACAAAAGCAAAAGCTCATCAAATTGAAGCAAAAGCAAATGCTTAAAAACATATACATAACCTTTTGCTTTGCCTGAACGGCTTTTTCTTATTCAAAGCTGATTTATTTCTGCAAATGATTTTTGTTCCTTTTAGATGAGGAGGAGCTGAGTATGCCTAATGAGGACCCACCACCTTACGAGGAGAATGACGACGTTAAGAAGCCCCTGACTTCCTCCTCTGAGCAGAGCTGGACACAGCCCACGCTGGAGGAAAAACTGGTCCAGGCCGGGCTACTCAGTGTAAGGATCATACAGGCTGGCGTGGATATATTCAGAATGAAGTCCGTGTGTAGATGGCGTTGTGTGACCAGTGGGAGTGACGCGCACGCACTTGATCAGGCGCGTGTGGCGCAAAGAACGCATGGCGATTAAAACGTAAACAACTCCTTTTTATGAGGATTGGCGCGCGCGTACTGCGGGATGTCACGCAGATGCAACTGTGGTGAGTGCGTTGTGAATTTAGGACTATGAAATACCGACTCACTGGTAGTATTGCGCATGCCTACATGTACGTGAGAATTGTGAACGTTCAACCAATAAAACGGTAAAAGGCAGTGGATTTCATAGGAGTCCATATTTCATATGACACTGGAAAAGTGTTTAACACCAGCCAGCCATGTCTGTATCATCCGTTTAAGACCGACCACCTGACGGGCTCTCGACCAATGGGAGTGGAGGATGCGAGAGCTACCAGTAAAAAGGGGCATATTTAACGCCAAAAACTCCACTAAGTAATGCAACTATCGAAGTTGGAACAGGTGGAGTGATTATGATCAAACTAACAGGTGTTTTTTCTCTGTTACAGGAAGACGATCTCAAGGAGGATTCTGGCTCCATGCTGGGTGGTGACTTGATGTTTATTGTTGCATTTTTCAGTAAGTTCACTCAGTACATTGTACCTATGCAGTGATAATTATTGCATGCCTACACAAAGTCCCCGTGTAGGTGTAGCAGTGTTGTGGTTAAAATTGCTTCCTGTGAAAATTATGGTCGTTTTTTTTCCCTCAACTTTCACGATTTACATGCCGCATGACGGAACTTCACACTGTTTTGATTTTTGGGGTGTGTATTTATGGGTAGTACGGGAAGTGGGTACCCGATTGAAATATACCGGGGTACTCGTAAAATAAACCCAACCCCAAGATTTAAATCTCAGAAGTTGCTGAACAGATTGTTCACAAAGATCGCATGATAACACCACACTGTTGCGTCAATACAAGATACAAGTGTACAGCGAGCTCAGTACAAGGTGTCATTTACATCTTTGCAAGCGTCGTTAATGTGAATATGTTGTTTTTTCCATGCAGCCGACATTCATAACCTAACTTTTTCATTGTTTGAGATTTTACTAATTAATATGTAAATTACGGGTACTCGATTCAATTATCTGGAACCAATTCCTGAAATCAGTGGTCGGGTACTCGGGTAACCGGTTTCGATGTGCAGTCCTATTTAAATTCATAAATATGGTAAATAAATCTTACAAAAAAAAAAATTTAAATGCAAATTTGTTCTTTGATGTTGTATCTCAATTAATTGGGTACAATTTTTAGAGCAAGGGGTAGGGCATACAGGGTGAGTAAAAAAAAACCGGAAACCCAAATGTTGGGACCACTGTTTTAGTGAAGTTCTGCATGTAGCACTTTCGAAATCTAGGATATGAAAGCCCCATTCCTAAGCTTTCTTTTAGTACAAGAATCATTTTAATCACTCATGTACTTTTCAAGTTACAGAATTTTAAACACAACCACCGTTTTAAGGTTCTGTCCACGGATCACAAAAAAGTTCAGTGTTCTTTCAGCAAAACGAAAACAAATCACATAGGGATGTGTGTGAATTGTTTTCGTTTTGCTGAAAGAACGCTCACCTTTTTTGAGATCCGTGGACAGAACTTTAAAACGGTGGTTATGTTTAAAATTCCGTAACTTAAAAAGTACATGAGTGATTTGAATGATTCTTGTACTAAAAGAAAGCTTTTGAATTGGGCTTCATGTCCTGGATTTCGAAAGTGCTACGTGCAGAACTTCAATAAAACAAGTCCCGACATTTGGGTTTCGTTTTTTTTTACTCACCCTGTTTAGTCATATTTCAAATGGAAAGTGTTAATTTTATACTTGTTTCAGAATGGAAAGGCTAGAACAAGTTTTTTTTTTAGTTCCCAAGTTTTTAATTGATTTCATCTTACGTCCGTTGATAATTTTGTCTTGATTTTTCTTCCCAGTTGCTTTCTTGTTCAATTGGATCGGCTTTCTCTTTGCCTACTGTCTGAGCGCTAGCGTGGCCGGACGGTACGGCGCTCTGTCTGGTTTTGGCGCATCCATGGTCAAGTGGACACTGATAGCTATGGTAAGAACGCAAAGAGTAGAGCACTTTGAATGGGCACGATGTGATCATTTTAGTAAGGGAATAAATACATGTATGTGCTCTGCCGGTTTTAAACAAGACGTTTAAAACCAGCTTGTGGCCTGGACGTTGATAATGGCCCGAGCCAAAGTTGAGGGACATTTTTGGCGACCAGGCCCCAAGCATACTTGCCAAGCACATATTTATTCCCATTCATAAATACCTTTTCGGTCAAAACAAGTAAAAAATTATTCATTTCCAACGATTTTGTTCAACAAGTATTACTTCATGTTTTTCTAGCTATGTTATGGTATGTGCCTCGCGCAAGTATTTTTAAACAAGTCCTTATATGGCGCATACTGTGCAATGTGGTGCAGAACGCAATACAGACTGAAATATGGACTGACTGGTAGTATTGCGCATGCCTAAGTGAAGATTGTGAACGTTCAACCAATGAAAGGGTAAACGGGACCAGACTTCATAGGAGTCCAAATTCATGTGACACTGGAAAAGTGTTTAAAACCAGCCAGCCAGTGTTTTATCAACCGTTTAAAACCACCCACGTGATGGGCTCTCGACCAGTAGGAATGGGTAACCTGTCTTTAGTACTTTTGACTGCGTATTTAGAAAGCTAATCAACCAGTATTGGTGCTCTAGGTGCTGCATCATTATTACCCCTGCTCGTTGGGCCAATGAAACATTCCAAACACAATCTGACTTCCCCAGGAATTACACAGCTCAATGCTACCCTTTTTTGCACAAAGCAGCTTAATTCAATCACAGTCTCTGCCCTCGCAGGTACACATTTAATCTTGGGTGGGGAGAGGTAAATTGCGACAATGTGAGTTGCCCATGGACACACACACACCCTCTCATGCTGAGTGGACTAAAGCCCACAAGCTGCAGGACTACCCACAGATCTCGAGTCTGTGCTCCATGCCACAAGGCCACGGCGCTGCACATCACTTTGCATTCTGAGGACGTGAAGTTCCTCAAAAGATATTTGAAATGACATCCAAGTTCTTCCAAATTCTCATTCCAAATTGTAACTTGTAACAATTCTAGTTTATTATTATTTATTATTTTATTATTTATTTATTCTCATCATGTAAAAACATGAAACTTGTCTCCTCGTTCTGCACACAAATATGATGTATAAAACACTTAAAAACTTCACATTAAAAACAAAAACAAAAACATATTACATAAATGTACAAATAGGCGTAACAATATAAGAACACTGACAAGAGTAGACGTAAACAGAAATAGAATAACAAATTGAGCCTAATTAAATAAATAAATAAAATATCTGGATTGATAGAGCTATTATGTATAAAGACGAAAAATGGGAAGGACACAATGGCAAGCCGGGGGGGGGGGGGGGGGGATTAGAAAGCCAGGGGGATATGAGCGGGGGAAAAGGAAACAGGGAAAGGGTTGAAACTTACATGTACGAGGGGTATAAACACACACATTTACATCACGATTTAAAAAGCATAATATCTACTATAAGTCTGATTAAAAACACGAGATTGCCCTGGGTAAAAAATGTGTCGTGTTAACGAGATTTCAATTTACTAATTTAACCCGACACAAAATGGGTAGATGTGTGAGGAGGGGTGGATAAGAATATTATGAGATAAGACAGAATAAGGGCTAATCTGATTGCTCTAAAAACACACTACAGCACGATTATAAAAACAGCATTATCTAGTATAATTCTTGTTAAAATGTGAAACTGCACTGGGTAAGAATGAAAGGTTGTGTCGTGTTGTACGAGAGTTCAATTGACGGATTCGACCTGACCTGTTTTGTACTATGAACGAATGGAGTGGGTGAGTATCGTCTTGCATAATGGTTCTCAGTTTGGATTCAAGAGCATTGTGGTACATTGATTGAATGTCCAAAACATCAACACCAATGACCCTGCTGGCAATTTTAGTGATCCTTTTCAACTTGTTCGAATTCACAACAGTCAAACCATTAAACCAGGCGATACAACAAAAAGACATGACGGACTGTATGACACTCTGATAAAAAAGCAACATAATATCACGATTAACATGAAATAATTTCAATTTCCGCAGGAAAAAGAGCCGTTGACTAGCCTTGGCACATAACTTAAGAGTATTCACATTCCAATTCAATTTACTATCAATGTACGTCCCAAGGTACTTATACTCTGTCACAATTTGGATTTCATCACCACTAATAACAACAGGTTTGATAACATTCTGATTTTTCCTAAAATCAAAAACAATTTCTTGCGTCTTCTGCGTGTTCAATATTAGGAAGTTAGTTTGATGGTAGTTTGCATCGGAGAGATGCAAATTTCATGTCCCGTTTTGCCTTTTATGTGACCTGATAGTGAGTAAGGGACGACAACCTTAATATATCAGAAGCTAGTGACAAGCTTAAAGCTACAGTCCATCATTTGCAGCTATCCAAAAAGTAACTGATGTAATTATTGCTGAAAAGCATACTTGGTTAAAAGATATTAATTAACTAAACTACCTGTGAAATTACTCTTTCTGTCAAGCTGTCATTTTGGAAAAAACAATGAAAGAAGGCCTTTCCGACGATGCGTCTCAAGACGCATCGTTGGGAATTTCCGTTATTAGTTCATTTTTACTTCGGCAAAGCTTGCGCAACCGTTGACATTACGTACACATGTGTGCGGTTGCTATAATTCGTCGGATCATTGCGCGACATTGCATAGCTGCAATCGACTCAGTGACAATGTGTCCCGGGCGCTGAATTCAGGCCCAATTCAAAAAATGACTCAGCCACTTTTGATTTGAAATCAAGATCTTAGAATATTGTTTTCTCAGAATATACAGCATTCACTGAGCTAAGACTTCATCATCGGGCGAGTTGTTAAGCACCCTTCTTTAGATGTTTTGTTGCTTCAAACGAACTTAATGCACAAATTACAAATGATGGACAAATTACAAATGATGGACTGTACATTTAAAGATAGTTCTCCGTGTAAAGTCTCAAATATACGTTTTACTATTGATGTAAGCTTGGCTTGAGAGTCTATTGCATTTCAGGTTTCAGTTTATTTCCGTAATATTGTAAAGCCAGTATTTTACTGGGTTTACAATGTAAACAGTACTTACAATAATTTATAATAACAATTACCCTATGTAATTTGTTATGTAATTTCTGGATCAAAAGCATTTGAACTTATAAAATAAACAATTTAAAGTTAACATTATTTGTTTCCCTTGTTGTTTCAGTATTCAGACTGTTGCAGCATGTATCTGAAGGAAGCCACATGCCTGCTTATTGCCCTTACGCTCAGTGGTAAGTTTCAACTTTCAATAATTTCACATCAAGCTTGTATCAAAGACTGGCAATTTGATTCAACTTCCTGATACTGTTAAGTTTGTTTGCTGCCCTCTATAGTTCATGTATGTTGAACTTCTATACACTGTTAAAGATGAATGCTGCCCTCTAGGCTTCACACTTGGCCAGGCTATTTTTTTTTTCATGTGAGGAAATTAGACAAAACTTGAACACTTAATGAAAATACAGAAAATACGAAATTGTGAATGTGACACTTGCAACTTTGATATATTAAACTGTTAAATGATATGAATGTTAACGCTCAAAGTTAGACGGGGCGTATGTATCTGTATGTTTTAAGTGCTTTCAATGTTTTTTTCCTTGTGGGACATTCATGAAGTACAATTTAAGTGTCTGCTGTCAACACATTCAGATCTATGCACACTGCAACACAGAATACACAAGATTCATTAACCCAAACCTTCCCAAATCCTCCAAAATCCCCTTCGAAAATTGGAGGGTTTTGCAGGATTGAGGCTATAATGGCAAAAGTGTGTGGCCACTTTGGGGGATGCACTGTGTCAAGGTCTTGGGCCGGATGTTGTGTTGTTTATGCTCAGCTTTGCATAAACTGAGTCCTAGATTATACTGGAAATCCTCCACACTGCTCCAGGATGTCACTGACTCTGCCTCAACATATTGACAGTGATTGCTGGGGGATTTTGCAGGATTGAGATAGTGGTCACCCCTCCATGGACCACATTCATGAAATAACAGAGGATTTTGCAGGATTGAGACTGTATGCTGTTTTACAAGGAGGCAGTTTGAGGATTTTGCAGGATTGAGGTTGCGTCCTAGCAACAGTGCCTAGGGGGTTTTAAGCGATTCACCTTTCATGCAGAAATACTTCAATTGGCTACAAACAAAGAAATGCACTTTGTGTGTTATACATTTATGGCGTCAGAGCATATGCTGCAGAATATTCAAGATATTCCGAGCTTTGTCTTTGAAGGTTATGATAATTCATTACTGTGGGATTCAAGTTGTCGACCTCCCCGTGGTGAATCCTGTCAACTGGCGCAAGTCAGGCGAACGACAACTACCAGAGTTAGTAGAACTTACATCAATCAACTTCTTACCACTCGTCTACACTCGTCTACACGATGGATCGTCAGCCACAACAGACTAGAACCAACCCGCAGCACGTGCCCTCATCAGGGCAGGCACCTGCGGATGCCGTACGGGCTGGTATCTCCCTGCTGCAGCTGAATGTAGAGGGCCTAACCAAGGCCAAAATCATTATCATTGAACATTTGATGCAGACCAACAAAGTCAGTGTTGTCCTGTTGCAAGAGACCCATATGAGCGACAGCGCTCGTCTTAAGATCCCTGGATATACCTTAGCAGCTTACACTGAAAGCGACATCCATGGGATCGCCACTTTTGTGCGGAACTCGGCCAAGTGGAAAGCAGTAGCAGCCTCTGCCTCCGATTCTGACCTGGAATGGACAGCAACTCAGGTGGAAGGTGTGACTGTAATTAACGTCTACAAGCCACCCCGAACCAGACTACTAGTAGACTCCATCCCAACATTTGATCAGCCCTGCATGTACGCTGGAGATTTCAACTGCCAGAGCACGACGTGGGGTTACCGCACGACTACCCTAGATGGTTCTGCTCTCGAAGACTGGGCCTCAGCCTCTGGTGTCCACCTTCTGTATGACTCGAAAGAGCCCGACAGCTTTCGCTCTGGTCGATGGAACACAACATCTAACCCTGACCTAGCCTTTGTCAACCTGAATGGTCCGTCCCCACACCGTTCAGTTTTGGACCCTTTCCCCAAGTCACAGCATAGACCATCACTCATCATTCCGGATAACCCTGTTGGGCCAATCTCTTCCAGACCCGTAAAGCGATGGAACTTCAGAAAGGCCAACTGGAATCAGTTCAGAGAACTGGTTGAGTCTGGGACAGACACCCTCCCTCTTCCTACTAACGGGAATTTGGACAAAGCCTACTCTGCCTTCTGCAAACTTCTAATCGACTCGGCTAAGCATGCTGTCCCTCGTGGATTTCGTCGCAGCTATATACCGGCTTGGGATGAAGAGTGTGATAGATGTTACAATGCATTTATACATTCTGACAGTGATGAAGAGAGTGCCACACTGGCCACAGAGCTGACAAAATGCCTAGATCAGAAGCGGAGGGAACGCTGGGAAGAGACAGTCCAAGGCATCGATTTCACCCATTCTAGCAGGCTGGCTTGGATGACCCTTAACCGTCTCACTGGCCGCAGCTCCCGTCCGAAGCATTGCCCTGTCACAGCAAACTCCATCGCACATCAGCTGCTAGCTAATGGCAACTTTGAGAATGCAGACAAAGACCACGCCCGGATTGTCAAACAGGAAACTTCAAGACTCTGGAATGCTCCAGGCGTAGATGGCTTCCTTTCCAAACCCTTCACATCTGCTGAGCTCGCACTGGTTGTCTCCCAACTGAAATGTGGGAAAGCCCAGGGCCCGGATAACATCTTCCCAGAATTTCTAAAGCACTGTGGTCCCAAGAGCCTGGACTGGCTCCGTGAGTTTTACTCGACCTGCCTCACTGGATTGCACATCCCGAAGATCTGGAGGAAATCTACTGTTATAGCCCTCCTGAAACCCAACAAGCCAGCAGATAATCCCAAGAGCTACAGACCGATCTCACTCCTGTGCGTGCCATTCAAGCTTCTCGAAAGGCTCCTTCTGGCCCGACTCAATCCAGTGGTTGATCCCCAACTTCCGGATGAGCAAGCAGGCTTCCGTCATGGTCGGTGTACCACCCATCAGATTGTCAAGCTTACCAATGATATCGAGGAGAGTTTTGAAAAATGCAACAAGGCAGGCGCTGTTCTAGTGGATCTCACTGCAGCTTATGACACAGTGTGGCATCATGGCTTGACACTAAAGCTTCTCCGCACCATTCCAGACCGCCACCTAGTGCGGTTCCTCGCAACAATTCTTGCGAACCGCAGCTTTGTAGCCAAGACCAGCGATGGACAAAGTAGCCGACCACGTCGCCTACGGAATGGGGTGCCCCAGGGATCAGTTCTGTCTCCCATGCTCTTCAATATCTACATCAGCGACCTACCTTGCACAGCTTCACGGCAGTATGGCTATGCAGACGACCTGGCATTGCTGTATACTGATAGGAACTGGAACAAAGTAGAGAAGGCGCTTACGGCTGACATGGAGCTACTTACAGACTACCTCAAGAAGTGGAGACTCAAGCTGAGCGTTGCCAAGACTACTGCAACTGCCTTTCATCTCAACACCAAGGAAGCCAATCGACAGATGACTGTTCTTCATAACGGGACTCCCCTACCGAACAACCCCCACCCAACTTACCTTGGAGTGATACTGGACAGACAGCTGACATACAGACAGCACCTTGAAGCCCTACGAGCAAAAGTGTCGGCAAGGAACAACTTGTTGCGTCGCCTGGCTGGTACATCATGGGGTGCATCAACATCCACCCTTCGCACAGGAGCTCTAGCCCTGGTTTACAGCTCTGCTGAATATGCTGCGCAAGCGTGGTGCAGGAGTACCCACACCAGAAAGCTGGACTGTGTACTAAATGACACCATGCGGCTCATCACTGGATGTCTCCGTCCTACACCCACAGATCTCCTCCCAGTCCTCGCTGGAATCGCACCACCAAGGCTACGCCGCGAGAATCTGACAGACAAGCTCACAACCAAATCCCTTGCCGATGATGACCACCTTCTTCACAAAATTACGACAGAATCCCAGGACCTAGGTGGCCAACGCCTCCGATCACGTCGACCTTTCTCCCGACATGCAGCCGCCCTCAGCAGATCCGACTTTAGCCTAATACAAGAGTGGGAAAAGGGCTGGGAAGAGACGGTTCGCCCAAGGCAGTTCACTGTTCCCCCTGGCACCAAAGCTCCTGCTGGCTCGGAACTACCCCGGAGGAAGTGGGTTACACTGAACCGGCTGCGAACTGGGGTTGGGAGATTCAATGCCAACATGCACCGCTGGAAACTCCGGGATTCACCGGCATGCACCTGTGGTGCAGATGAGCAGACGGCAGATCATATATTATACCACTGCCCCGACCTCCAACCTCCTGACGGGATGACTGATCTGTCGTGCCCAAAAGACGCACAAATCAACTGGCTTACGCAGCTCCAAGAAATAGCCTGATGTACAGTACTACTAACTCACACGAAAGAAGAAGATTCATTACTGTCCCATCTACCTCTCTGTACAGAGGAACCATTCAGTAGGCCTTTTCACATTTTGGTTTGGTAGACCTTTTCACATTTTGGTTTGGTAGGCCTTTTCACATGTCCAACACAGAGATTTGGGATAGCATGAAAAGGCCCTACTCTGTACATGTAACGGCTGCCCCGAATATTCCATCATCAACCGAATATTCCATCATCAACCCAATATTCCATCATCAACCCAATATTCCATCATCAACCCAATATTCCATCATCAACCGAATATTCCATCATCAACCAAATATTCCATCATCAACCGAATATTCCATCATCAACCAAATATTCCATCATCAACCAAATATTCCATCATCAACCAAATATTCCATCATCAACCAAATATTCCATCATCAACCGAATATTCCATCATCAACCGAATATTCCATCATCAACCGAATATTCCATCATCAACCGAATATTCCATCATCAACCGAATATTCCATCATCAACCGAATATTCCATCATCAACCGAATATTCCATCATCAACCGAATATTCCATCATCAACCAAATATTCCATCATCAACCGAATATTCCATCATCAACCAAATATTTGTATAGCTTTTTCCGGTTTGAATTTTCCTAAAGAAAAAATACACATACACGGCTGTGATTTTATTTCAATTGTAAAGTTGCATTGCTTAATTATTGTCGAGTGCCACTTTTTTGTCGACAGTTATTTTATTGTTCTCATCGCTTTGCACGTAGCAGGTTAAAGCTCTTGGCAGGTACAA